CTGGATTCTCAGCTGGTTGGTTGCCAAAAAATATGTTTGTACAAAATGCACTTCGCACCGGTGATGGATGATGGGCAAACATGTCATAGACGTGTCGTGAGCGTAAGCAAACAAAAACACCGTTGGCCCTTTGACAGGGCAAGGGCAGAGCCCCCAGCTGGTTGCAAAGAAGTTTGGGTGTGTGTCGTTGTAGAGGACTCCCGCAATCGTGGGTTTTCTTAAACAAAAGAGGTGTCAAGTACCAACTAGCCAAAAAAAACGGGTGGAAAAAAAGACATTCTCGGATTCGCCTCTTGTCCACCGATCCAGGGGAAAACATTAGGCCCGAGCCACTGGCAAAGGGATCCGGGCCTTTAGGGAAAGCCTTCGTTGGCTTGATGGCTTGATTTGAACCAAAGATTCCTTGGGGGCAGTTCGGAAACCACCCCCTCACCTCCACGAATCCAAACCACCCTGTCAGGGGTTGAATAGTATGATAAGGTGTTTGAATAGTATGAATGCAGGCTCACAGAATTGCTTGCTCCGTGGGCAGTACGCTTGGTTGCATTATGAAGACCGACCCGTTTCGGCCATAAAGAGAAGCGTCCATTTGCTGAACTGGGTATGTTTTGATCTGCTGGATATTTTTCCCAAGGGACAAGAAAGGCACGTGGGGGTAACTGTTTGTTTGGCCTAAAGTTCGTCAATTTGCTGGTGGTGTCCATCGGAATTTCGCCACTTTTGAAGCAAATGGAGGGAAGCCACTTGAAGAGACACTTCCGTTTTTGTTTCATTTCCCGCGTTTCTTACACATGTTGTCATTCTTTCCAGGGGGGCGTATGCGCAAATGGATAGCTTCAAAACGAGGCCCCGGAACTCCCGTTTTCCGCCCAGGATCCATAAGCAGGCTGCGGAGAAGGCCGAGGCCGGAGGCTAAGAATTCGCGTGGCACGTGGCTTTCGCTGGTCGGCTTGTAGTCAAGGTGTCAAAAGGTCAACCTATGTCCAGGTCCCTAAGGGGCAAGTGAGCTTTACCTTACCCACAAAGAGAAGCGCCCCGGCTATGTTTAACGGCCAAATTCGTCGAGGACGAGGGCAATCGGGCCTTTTCACAGCTCAGCGCGGAGTACGCCACGGACATGGTCCGCAAGATGCTGGGTGGCAAATGATTTGATCTTTGGAGGGTACATCAGCTTGATGTAAGCTGGATGTGTTTGTTCTTCTTTTCTTTTCTTTTTTCAAATGAGAAACACCTAATGTTTGATTTAGCAAGACATCAGGAACCCCACCATTCTTCGGGCTTCACCTCGTTTTGCCAAAAGCTATGGACTCGGAGTGATGCCCGCATGGCGCGGTGTCGGCTTCTCTTACGCTCTGACTTGGAGTACACTTCTCGGGCTTGGGCCGCTGAAATGCTTAGTTGTTCAAAGCGAATCGACCTTTTGACCTTTTGGTTTCCCCTTGTGGTCTATTTTTAGTAGGGGTCCAGGTCTTGGGCAAGTGAGAATAAACAGAAAGTTCCAGCACCCACGACGGGTGGCTTTTCCATTTGTAGCTGCAGTGCTCTTGCGTGAGCCACATGTACAAATGGAAGTGCCCACCCTGGGAGGGTGGCTCAGACTCTTTGTTGCCCATGCATCCAACGAAGCTCGGGCGTTTCAAAGACACCATGTCCTCCGTAAACCTTAGCTTGCTTCCCCAAAAGGAGGCTCAAAGCGAATAGTTCAACCGCTTACCCCTAAACACGCACCACTTAATGCATGCGTGGGGTTTCTTCGGGGAAAAAGACAAAGGTGTGCCATATATCCTTGCCGGTGCTCATTCGGAAATGACCTTCCGAGTTTTGGCAATAAACCTATGGATTCCCCTAAAGGAAAAACCATAGGGGATGGTTTTTTCGAGGTCATTCCATTTCTCATTCCCTGAGAACCATCAAGCCTACGAATGTCCAGCTGTCCTCCAGGAAAACAAGGATGCAAACATCTTCTGGTCCCGAGGAAAGCGGTGGAGGGCTTTGACCGGAGCAGCACCCGGGTCATGAGCAACAACATCTTCGCGAGCATCGCCCCTCGGCGCGCGCTGACGCGCGCCGAGCCGAAGTTTGGTTTTACAGGGTCCAACCCCCTGCAAAAAGATTGGGGTGACACAATTTGGATGATGAAGCTAGGTTAAAAACATGGTGGGTGCTGGGGATGTCTTTGTTTTTTGTGGGAAAAAGGTTGTTTTGAGGATGTGTTTGTGTTGAGGGTAAGCTTGTTGGATCGTTTGATGCGAAAACCAAAAGGAGATCACCCCAGTTTGACGGCGCCAGCTCTGTTTGACACCTTTGAAGGGCAGCTCTCCGAGATTTTCGGTTTGTCTTCGCAGTGTTGTTGATCATCCCCGCTCGTTGTTGTCTTTGTTCGTTTGGTTGTCGCTGTCGTGGTGGTTGTCGTGTGTGTGTGTGTGACGGCTGTTTGCCAGTCTCAGTTTGTTAATTCCTTTGATTTGCTGGTTCATTGAATCATCGTTTCATTTTGTTTGCGTGCTTGATTGCATGTGATCCGAATCCCTGTAAAATGGGTAGCACCCGTGTCTATCAACCAAGAGTTCACGCATCCTGTCTAGCCACGTGGCCAGAGTTGGAAGACTGGTCTGCTTTTCTTGATTCCCCACCCCCTGAAAAACGATTGGGGAGGGGTGACCCATGGAATTGCCTTTGATGGGGAAGACTAGATAAGTGGAATTGGGGGGCCCCAACCCCCCTCCCCCTCATGTGGTAGAAGGGAAGTCCTGATGGTTCTTGGTTTGAGTCAGAAGCTTCCACAATGGCTTTAAGCGTCATGTTTTTGAGGTAGGAGAGTGTAGACAAGCCAAACTGCGTGCTGTTGCTGTTGCTGTTGCCGTTGCTGTTGTGGTGGTGGTAGTGGTGGTAGTGGCGGTGGTGTTGGTGGTGGCGGCGGCGGTGGCGGCGGTGGTGATGGTGGCGGCGGCGGTGGCGGCGGTGGTGGCGGTGGTGGTGGTAGTCGTCATTGTTGTTGTGGTGGTTGCGCTTGACGTTGTCGGTTTTGCCGTTGCTGTTGCTTGCCGTGGCTGTTCTTGCTGCTGTTGCTGTTGTGTCGTTGTTGAGTTTGGCAGTGGCCGAATGTCATTTTCCACGTGCCCTCTGACAAGTTCTTGGTTTGTGAGAGGAAGGGTGCATTTGCATGAGAGTCCTTTGGCAAGTTCCCATTTCCACGCATTCCACTCAGTTCTTTTGCTTCTCAGGTAAGGCATCCCGCCTTCGAGCGCATGTCCCTGGCCATTATTTACATGAACGCTCTCTGGTGCCTGAGCCAGATTCGACGGGGGCCGCGTGGCGTTTGCTTTTGCCTTGTGCATGAGTGCGTCTATCAGGGAACACAAGCGCCCCGCGCAGGGATCCCATGTGGTTTCAAGTATCGCCTTTCGGCCGGGTCACTCGTAAGCTTGTGGGTGATGTCCATCTGTTCAAAGCGGAATCGTTGGGTTTCATAGTCTAATTCCTGCTCATAATCAAATTCGAGGGCATGTTCTTGGCAGGTCTTATGCCGTGTCAAGGCTTTGTGGGGTTCAATGTGCCTTGTTTGGCCGACGGGCTTCTTTGGGTGCCAAATACCCTACACGGATTTCTCGACACCCAAAGGAACAGGTACGCCTTGTCGTTTGGTTTGGTCGTCCTGTCTTTTTTGTTTTTAATCGCCAAATCACCGAGCTTAAGGATCGCAGTGGATATCGAGTTCAATGACGCGGACATGGTGCTGCAAGCGCACGCCTTCTTCATCATCGTGGAGATCTTGCTCCTTCCCCAGAATTAGTTCCCCTTTTGGCGTGTTTTGCTTTGTTGGGGTAGCCATTGTTTTCCACGAACCAGGAAACAATATGTATTTTTTGCTGGGGTCCTAATTCCAGCCAAGGTTCTTGCTCTACTTCACCTCAGAGCTCTTAATACGGTTTATGTCCTATGACAGGTCCAGGACACAGCGCGGCAAGGGTGAAAAGACAAAAGAGAAACTGGCCGGAAACACTGCAGGAAATCAGCTAGGCCATTCAGCTGGGTGCCCTTTTACCGTTTCTTTTTTGGGGGAGGGTCCCCGAATCGCTATTACGAACCCCATAAACTAGGAGTTCATACCAAGGGGTCATTGGGCATATGTACATTCAGCCTTTGACATTCACCTTAGTTTTGGACGCACCCCCTTCTTTTTTCCTGGGTTTCTTTGAAAGAACAAGGGAATTGCCGAATTGTCGACTTAGAAAAGGTGTTTCTGGGTTGTTGTTCCTTCTTGTTTGCTTTCTTTTCAACAACGTTATTCGGCCAAGTGGTCCAGGAGTGCCCTGACGGATTCCTGGTTTATTTTCGACTTCCTCCTGGTACTCCTGATGGTCCTTGAGACCTGGCTCATTCCCCTCGCCGCTTTGCTCCTCGGCTTCGTTTGGTCGATGCCTGGAACTGACTGGGAGGTGTTCCTTTTGACTTGGTGGCTCCCAGCCATCCGGTTCCTTAGCTTTTGGATCCTTTTAGTGTTTAGTGGTAGTTTCCATTTAGCCCACTACAAGTTAAACTTTTAGCGGGGGATCTCAGGGCAGCCCAGTTAAGATTCCGCTTACCTGAAGGAAGAATTGGAGTGTAATGGGTTTGCCCTGCGTTTTTACCCTGTCGGCGGAAACGCTCGGCATGAAGGCAAACCGCCCGCTAAAGTTGAGCTTGTCATCGCGTGCTCGTTTTACGCCGAGTGCGCGATAACTTGGCAGACCAGTTGTGCAAAGGCAAGTGGGTGCGTTTTTGAGGCTACCCTTTTAAGGTTGGATTTTGAAGCAGTCCAACAGCGGGTTGCGGTTTTTGACGCCGCCATTTTGGGGCTTGTTTTTCGTTTAAATGACTGTGCAATTGGCAGAACTGGTGTGACCACGCTCTGGTGTATATGCTTCCCCCCACGCCGGGGACACGGGTGGCACTTCCTGTGGTGAAACGGTCCAGCTTCAGTTTCCAAAAGGGTCCATGGGGCCTCCGCTTCCCCTGTGGTTCGGGTCGGCCAGGGCCGGCGAGATGCGCAAGCTCTAAGCTGTGGATGGTTTTGCGAAGTCCATTTCGCGCCACGAAAAGAAACCATGGTGGAAACCACAAGGTTTGTTGGTTTTTTACAGGGAATCAGGCCATTCCAGGGCTTCTGAACGGTGGCGCGAAATGGATTTTGTCCATCCACAGTATGGAGGCTCAACGGAGCGAACACCCATGAAGGTACCTGAGTGTTGCAAATGTATTCCTAGAACTAGCATGCATTCAGAATCAACTAAGAGTGGCTGCAAACCTTGCTCTCTGAACTTAGGGAGTTACAACTACACAAGTTGCTTCCTTCAAGTTGATCCCCAAAACCCTTAACCTTTGGCGCCGTTTTGGGGGTTCACCCTAGAAAGGCCTTTTTGGTACTCTTGGGGTTGGTTTACAAGGAAAACCCGAACACCGAACCCCGATTCGAGCCAGTTCTGGGGTGTCTCTTTGGAATTTCTGTTCGGGGGTTCCTGTAAACCACCCCCCCTCCCTCAAAACCAAAACCACCGACAACCCCCCCGCCCCCTCAAAAAAGATCGACCCCCTCAAAAATCCCTCAAAACCAAAACCACCAACAACCCCCCCAAAAAACACACACAAAAAACGCCCCCCCCCCCCCCCGCACCATCTCCCGGCATCTTCTGGATGGACTTCTTTTTGTTTTTTTCTGTTGCATTTTATGGCTGGCGGACGTGTTTGTCCTTGCCAGGCTCATGCAAGGGTCGGAGAGCAGCAACCAGGCGGGCATGGCGCGCAGCGCCTCGGTGCTGCGCGTGGCCCGGATCCTGCGGGTGCTGCGCACCGCGCGGATCATCCGCGTGGCCAGGCGCGGGGACGGAAGCAGCGAGTTAGGGAGCCCTAGGGAGCCCTAAGCCACGTGAAGCTGGGCGAAGATTTGGGGATCCATATGGCCATGGGTCAAAACCCAAATCGTACCTCCGGTGAACATCCCAATCCCCACTAAAATTGACTAAAGTGGTGCACCTATCCCAAATGGGCGAAGAAGATTTGGGTGTGGCTCAAAATTCAAGAGCTAAGGTTACACGGATTTGAGTCGTTGGTTCCACTTACCAAGTTTGGGTACATGTTTTTCAGCCACAGGCATTTGGGGGTCCATATGAAATGGCTTAATCACTGTGGATGGCTGCGAGTCCTCTTAGGCACCAACGTTCAGAAACCCTTTCTGATGACTTTCCTGCACATACCAACAAACAATGGTTTCAACCTTGGCTTCACAATGCTTTGTTTTAAGATTTCGACCCCCCACAATGAATTTCGGAGTTATGTTTGATGTTTGCCTTTGAAACCACACTCAATTTACATCTCCACCAGCGGCCGCTCTCTAAAAATAAATCTGAACTTGAAAATAGGGGCTCAACTTGTTCCGAATCCTACTGGAAATTGCATGTTAAATGTAGAATGTTGATAATCCTTCTGGAAGTTATATCTTAGATTTGAATCTAGACATACATCCTTTCAACTTTCCCAACAAAGCTATACAACTCAATAAAAAACATCAGCAGAACTTGACAAGGAAATAATCTAATCGAATTGTGGTTCTAGATTACCGTTAAGATTAGAACTAATCAATTTTGCAATTCTAGTTACGCAGGAGTTTCTTTCCAATATGAATTCTTCATAAATCAGTTATATAATGTAAACACAAATTGTTCAAACAGAGTTCAACTCGAGTTTCCATGCAAAATATAAAACAAGGGCACGAGCTCTCGTTTTTTGTCTTCGGGAGCGGGTTCGTGGGCTGACCCATGGCCTGGACGGAAAATTTATATCCCCTGCCAGGTACATGCCAGAGCTGATGATCCTGGTCAAAGGCACCGCGTTCTCGCGATCGAATCCCTTCCGGGGTCGCTTCTGGGTCGTCTAAGAGGAATTGACGGGAATCCTCTTATCTCACTTCCTGAGTTCATGAACTTTAGTCACTTTTTGGGGGTTGGTTGCCATTTTAGTGGTAAATATATAAAATTTGGACTGTTTTTGGGCCATCCACTCAGCCAGTGGGTCTTTGTTATACACACACTGAATTTCCTGGAATCCATAGGAATCCTCGGAATTTCTGGAACTGAGCCACTGCTTCTTTTTTTTCTGAAGGCCATGCGGATGACAAACAAAAACAATGTTTGCTATACAATCCCATGGTATTCCTTTAATGGCTGTTAATTGGTTGGTGTTTCTCGAGGGCGCCTTACGTGAATTCCCGGGCCGTCCGAAGCCATGTTATACACTCACTCTCTGAGTTTCTCGATTTTAGTCACTTCGGGGAAAACACATTTTGATGGTAGAGAAAAAGGTTCAGACTTTGTTTTGACCAATCTACTCGATCGGAAGTGAGTAGAAGTCCCGTTTTCCCTGCATCTGGGCGGGCGCCCGGCCTAGAAATTCCTTTTGTGCCTGGATGGTTTTACCCTAAGGCTTGCTGCCCACCGCCCACAGGTTTCACCTACACCCCCGGAGCTTGAGGCCTGATCGTCGCGGCGCGCTCGGTCTTCTTCACGCTGGTGCTGCTGTTGCTGATCACGTATGTCTTCAGCATCGCCTTTGCACAGCTCAGCGTCCTGGTTGCAACCAGGCGCGTGCTAATTGTCTAGGTCCCCCAGTAGCGCCCTTTCACCAACATTTTGGAGGGAGAGTTCCCCTACTAAAATAGACTACAGAAAATAGGGTACCCTTATTCTAACCTCTCTATTGGAGGACCTAGTTGTGTTTTTGCTGCGTCGATCAAATATGAAAGACGCCTTGATTGGGGATGAGCGCATTGGGCGGTCCTTGTGTTGTGACGTACTGTGGATGGACAAAATGATGGGAAACCATTGTTTATTGGCATTTACGGAGGAAACATCAATCCAGGGTTCTTAAGTGGTGCAGGATTTCGTCCATCCACAGTATGGTCACAGGAGAAAGCAAAGAAGTTTGCATGATAGTGTGCTAAAGGATGTGTTTGCGGTCGATCTACTTCGGTCCCTGGTTCCAACACTTCTTGCCAGCTTCAAAGAGTTTGTGACATATGGGGCCACGGGGCTGTTTGTTTTCGACGGCACCCTTTTTCGGGGCGTCCCAAAGGAGAAACAACCAAAGGAATCCAATCATTTTGGGGGTCCCCTACTTCAAGACGCACCTACATCCCACGAACAGTTGGTTGATCAACCACGGCGCTGAACAGGCGCCGATGGCTCAGGTCATGATACCAGGCTGAAGCCTCTCTACTTCCAGTCGGTGCCTACTGCCGTGCTTACGCTCATTGCCCCTTGGCCTCTCTCTGTTCACAAGGCGTGTCTCTGATGCGCGAAAGGAGATTGTGTTTGTTTTCTCGACTAGCTGGTCATTCAGGTAACCCTCAATTGGTGTTTTGGATTTGTCTAGGTCCCCCCGCAGTGCCCTTTTACCAACTCTTTTGGAGGGAGGCTTCCCCTACTAAAATCGACTACAGAACAAAAGTTGGTACCCTTATTCTAACCAGGACACGGTGTGCTTTGTGTTTTTCAGAGGTTTGGGGTTATGTTTGCAGGGCTTTGGACGTTCGGGCGCGGTTTTTTGGGTTGAACAAGTGGACCCCCAAAACGGGCTTGAACCCCCAAAGTGGGCGGGTGTTTTGGATTTGTCGGGGGATTTGACCCCCTAGATTCCAGAGGACGAGTTCTCCTGCCAGTGGCAGTCATTCTTGGGAGTCCGTTGAGCCATTTTTTTTTGCTCAAGTCCCAAGATCTGGTACCCTCCGTCCAACAAACATAGCACCTGTGGGAGGGTACCCGGCAAATGAGTCCCACGAAGATCTGGTGATGTTCTAGGGCTACCTTCCAATTCCATTCTGAACCCAGGGATCCGAATCTTTTCAGGAAACCAGCAAAAACCCAGGGAAACAGCGATCGGTTTTTGCAAAGAACGATGGTTGAAAAGAATGGACAAGGAATCAACCCCTAGAAATGTAGCACCTGTGGGAGGGTGCCCGGAAAATGACTTTCCTCTTGGAAGTACCCTGTGTCAGCTGCCATGTTAGCGGGAGGGAGGGTAATGTAGCCGAAGACCCATTCAAAAAGAAGCGCCAGTGAATTGATCCTTGGGTTGGCGCCGTTCCATCTCCTTGTCTTGCAAATGAACATCGTAAATCATGTTTGCCAAATTGAGACACACGCATGTATCCAGCTGAATCTTTGACACAGGGACAAAAGCTTTTGTCCAGTGGCACCATGAAATGGGCCCCACAAAATGTCTTGCTTTTTCTGCCGTTTGGGTCGCTGGTCGCTGCAAACGTGGCGCGACTCTCCCTCTCTCTGCCCAGTCGGCAAGTGAACCTGCTCTAATCGCTATCCTTCAAGGACTCATGATCAACATAGGACCCCCAAGCTTGCAGTTGGGCGAAGGTAGATGGCGCAGTTCTCCTAGGATTTGTGCCATCTACTACCACCCTGGTTGTACAGAGTTGTACCCTATTTGGCGTAGGGACACCGCCCATGAGTCCAAGAGGCAAACCCATGTTCTTCTCTCACCCTGCACTCCCTTGCCCCAAAGCCAATCAACCGGATCTGACCCTGTGCGTTTGCCACTGTTGGACCCTATTCTTGTCTTTTGGTTCCGACACATGATCACCTTCTTGTTCTAGTTGCCCGTTGCAGGGCACCTATGTTGCTCAGGCCTTTGCAGGGACAATCACAACTTGCTTCCCAAGAGAGAATGAGACATTTTCATGATCCCGCAACACCTCCCCGAGTTGGTGGCCTTTGTCAGGAGCCAAAACCGGGCGCATTCCCAACCCCCGGAGTGGCTCGGAGATTCCTTCATACCCTGCCTCCCGGCTGGCTATGACTTTCGTTGGATCGCGAGTGCGAGCCGAGAGTAGGTGACCTGCGTGATGCCGGACCAAGAGTCCTTCTTTCAGGATGTTGCGCAGGCGCCGGGCTGCTTGGGTTTGGGGGGGGTTGGGTGTTTGGGAAGGGGGGTTGGGGTGTTTGGGGAAGGGGGTTTGGAGGTGGGTTGGGGGCTTGGGTTCGAGGCCTTCGGAGAAAAAAAGAGCCAAGAGCCGACCCTGGCGGCTCGTCATTTTTGGAGTTACCCCTTGTTTGCTCAGTTGGAAAAAAAAGAGAAACCAGCCGCAAAAACAAAAAAAAACATCTTGGGCGGGGGTCTGATTTTGGACTTTTCAGGCTTGGCCTTGGGGCTCCCAAAGCCGAAGCTTTTGCCAGGTGAGTCTACTGCAGCTGGGTCAAGTCCCCCAGGTTTTGGACGTCCAGGCTTCCTGGGCTCGGTGGTTTTTTCTTTGGATGGAAGAGACGTGGTTTCTGTGGACGAGAAGGAAACCCCAAGAACCATCCCACCGGTGTCTGCAAGTTTGTTCAATCCAGACCCCTGTCAAACATATCCTGTCCGCGCCTCGCAGGATTGTTGTGCAAGGCAGGCGGCCATGATTGTTTACGGCTATGCTAAGACGAAGGGCGAGAATGGCAAGAAGGGCGCTTCAATCAGTTCCCCTTGTCATTTGCAAGTCTTTGTGCCCAGCAATCCACAAGTTGAACTTACCTTGACTGCTATTGGGTTGGATCTTTAGACTTTAACTTTTGGGAAATAATGGTGTTTTCCACTAAACCCCAAAAAAGTTACACGTTTTGCAGTGGGGGTCACCAGCAACCAAGTCTTTTGCTCGGCAAAACACGGAAAACCTGGGAGGAGAGTTGGGTCATGGGTATGCTGGTGATCATCTTCGTGACCATCGGCTCCTTGATCGTTATGCACCTTGGCGCGACCTGTTCGCCGCAGGAATCCGTTTTCAGCCCATTTCAGGGATTCCGGGCCGTTTCCATTGTTGGATCCTTCAAAAGTGGCAGTTTCAATGGAAACCACCAGTCAATTGATCAACTTTGTGGGTTTACAAAGTGGGTTGTGAGGAAGCCACCCCCCCCCCCCGCTTGCAGTAGAAAACGCCGAGCCAGTGGCTGCGGGATGCTGTTTGTCGCAAGCCGGTGGGTTTCACCCGTCTCCGTTGTTGACTCCTTTCGAGTTCCCACAGCAGCTCACCAGCTCAGTGGACTCTCTACCGCTCGAAGTAAAATACACCAACCAAGAAGGGGTCCAATACTTGGTTCTCAGTCGCTGCGCAACTTTGGTGCTACGCGCATGTCCAAATGCAGATTTGACCTTCGTATCGGGCTCAAGGAGGAGAAATGGAGTCCTAAACACTTGTTAGCGCCATCGAATTGTGTCAGATTTCAATGCGCATGTGTCCGCAAATGATTGCGCACCCACCTACTCTTTTCCCAAAAAAGCTGGGAATGGAGCCAAGGGAAGCCAGGGGGTTATGAGCAGCATGTACTTCCGAGTCGTAAAAATCCTTTCCAGTCTCCGAGCCTGAAGCAGCCCCACGACGAACCACCCTTCACACCAAACCTAAGCTCACTCTCAAGCTACTTTGAGACCCCCACCAAAGCCCATCCAACATGTTTCCAACCAAAACCTTCGGGGCCCCCGAGAAAAAGGGGCGCCTCCTCCAAATGGCCCCAAAATGGCCCCAATCTGGCCCCGCGCCCGCCCCGCGCCCCGCGCCGGCCCCAGGAACATGCTGGTGGGCATCCTGGTGGAGGCGGTGCAGACCGTGGCCACCATGGAGCACGAGCAGATCCACGTGGACTTCGCCAAGCGCGCGCCCTGCCGTCAACCGCAAAAGCGAAGGAGCGAAGCAGCGAGGGGCTGTGATTGTCAAAACCGTTTTGGATCCCATTTTGGTGGGTAGGTGAATTCACCACCCATCTTAGAACCCATTTTGGTTGGATTGGGATGTTCACTGGGGGTGACGGGATTGCAGGACTGAAGGAGCGAGGCGCTTTTGGTTTGTCCCCATGCGCCAAATGGTTCGAGGAGACCAATTCTCGTAAGTCGCCCGGTAGTTGTCTCCAGAAAGCGCCGAAAAGGCGGACAAACATGGTAACCCCAAAATGGGCTAGCCTGGCAAATGGGTTACCAAGGACCAAAATTCCGGCGGTCCCTATCTTGGCGTTTTTTTTTTTCTTTGGTGCCCAGTGGGTTGCTTCCTTTTTTCCGCTTTTTTGGGGTAAGGGTTCCCCTTTAAAGAAAAACCAACAAAACAAGGTTGTCCGTTTTTCCCCATGACCACTGGTGATCAAGGGGATGTCTTGGGACATATCCGGAACCCAGGAGAAAGCGGTCAACCAAGGGCAGGCAACGCAACCAACTGCAAAACGCGCTAAGCCCATCCCTTTTGGAAACCAAAGGAGCCCCGAAGCAAAAGAACACCGCCAGTTTTTGGGAGGCTTTCCCTAGTTTGGAAACACTCACCATGGATTTTGGCTCGGAAACTGCGGGGCACAGGTTTGGTTTGGTGTGCTTCCCTTGGGATTGCCGAAGAAAACGTGGGGGGGGAGGCGGGGAGGCCTTGTGGATCTTTGGGGAGCCAAGAGGAGAAGGACTTACTTTGGAAGTCCCGCCCGTTTTGGACACATAAATTTTCTCAGTTGCCCAAACCGAATCGACCTTTTAACCTTTTCGTTGTCCTAGTTTGGTCTATTTTGTGTAAAGGTCCCAAAAGGCCAAAAGTTAAACTTTTGTTTCTGGGTCCCTTTGGCAACTGAGTATTGGTTGATCACCTCAGAGAAGGCTTTGTCGAAAGCCTGCCTTTTTGGTCGTGGGTGGGTCCAATTTCCCGGTCTTCCTTGGCTGAGTGTTGGCTTGGGTCGGAGATTCGGCCAATTTGGAAAGATGATATTAACGTCGGATGAATCCGAAACCTACTAGTCAGAGGACGCCCCCAAAGTAAACCATATCCTTATCAAAAGAGAAACCAAGCCCAGGGTACTCCGGATTAATCCGAAGTCAACATTATACAATACTATTCCTACTCTGATCAATCCTTTTCTTGACACCTAGATCCAATCACGGAACATGTCTAGCTCATAAAAACAGGGTTTCCGAGCCCATTTCCTTTTTCGGAACCTCCAAAAGCGGCAGTTTCAATGGACACCATGAGTAAATTGATCAACTTTTCCAGGGGAACTCCAGTGAACCCTGCAAAATGTCCCCAAGTTCTCTCTTGCTTCTCGGATCGCGAGATAGAAGGAACTTTTTATCGCATGATCTTCTCTCTTTCATGGGCTTCGAGATCAAAGCATGAGCTCATGTCGCAGGTCTGGAAAGATCCCTGATTTCAGGTTTTGGGGTCACAAAGGCCGAGCGAGACCCTGATCTTCGCGTCAGGTCGGCTCGGGTTTCTTGAAAAGGCCCCCAAGGGCCAGTGATCACCGAGCGGTTGCGAGCGGGCTAGGTGCTCAGGGACTTGATCCAGGAGGGGGGGGTGGACGAGGATGGGGACAACCAGATCTCTGAGGAGGAGTTCTGCAGGCCGCCAAACGGTTGTCTCTGGGGTCCAAATGTAAGGGGCTTGTCACGTTTGGAACACCAGAAGTTTTTTTGGGGTTTCCTGGGGTGGCCCTGAAAAAGTCCACCCGTTTTGGGCCCCAAAGTGGGCAAATCGCAGAGTGATGCGTTTCCTGATCTCACCAGTGTAGAGGCAGCGTTTACTGTACACTAGAAACTTACGGACAGTGGGACCCCCTACGGCCCATACTTCTTCAACGAGGAAGCCTTAAGGACAATTCGTATTTAAAGCCTCCACCATGGGACCATTTTTGCTAGCACTGGGAAACTGTGCCAGCTTTCGGTCTCTCTCAGACCACTTTGGCTTGCAAGTCCGTTCCGGTTCCAGGGCCACAAACAACAGACCTACCCGCATTCGCCTCAGTTCAACCGCAGTTGCCACGGTTGTACCCTGTCAAACAACCATACCACGCATACCAGGGGTTGATTCGAACTACGCATTTCCAGTTGCCGCATTTTGCCTCCCCATGGGCTCACGCGCCCGCTCACCTGGGTTGAACATCCAACTCCCTGCCTCCCTTCCCACCCCGCTTCCCCAACAATGTCCGATTCCCCCCCCCCCCGCCAGCGAAACAGCAGCAAAAGTGCAAGTGTGCCAACCACATCCAACCCTGGCAACTGACGGTTTATTGGGGATCATTCCCTCATGCCCCACTGACGGGAAGCCATACCTCTACTTCCCCATTTCCTAAAAGCGATGCAAACAATGTAAATACCAAAGGAAAACAAAACAACAATACCCTTAAACACCAAAACAAACAAAGCACACACACAGAGAGATTTCCCTAAAGAAGTGTGGAAGGGCCTGAATAATTTGCATGATGTGATAGGGTACTTTAAGCCACATTGGTCATAATTTTAAATCTACACCCCGGTCTATTACAGTGATATCCTCAACGTAGCCCCTCCAAATGGTGGTGTTGAATTGAAGGGTTTTCGCGGGGACCCAAGTGTAGTTTCGCCAGCCCCTGCAAATCGTCTCAGCCTCCCAGAATGCCCTTCAACAAAAACACCCTAAAGAATTTCACCCCCCTACAATACCCTTAAACACACAAAAAAGCAAAAACAAGAACCCTTTTCATACCTCTCGAGCACGTCTCCCTCATGTCGTTTTGTCAGCAAACCCAAATACCCTCAAGAACAAGAACTCCAAAGACCACAAAACAAGAGACGTGTCCATACCTCTGGAGCCTGGCTCGTTTTCACGTCGGTTTCTTTCGTTCTCCGCCCGCGCGCGCGCGCGAAGCTCGAGCGCTGGTCAGGCTGCTCCAACGGCCGGAGGCCATGAAGGCGCTGGGCCGCCTGGGCGTGGACGACTATGCCGTCATGGAGTACGGCGCCTCGCTCGGGTAGCTCCATTGGTGCGGCCGGGTTCGGGTTTTGGGGGGGGGGGCAACAAACGGGGAGCTGTTGGAAAGAAGTTTTCCATGGGAAGTTAAGTTGGTTTGCTTAAAAAAGGTTTGCCCTGGTTTAGATGGGGTTTATGCCCCATTTACCAGGGAAAGCCATCCTATTTTTCAAGGTCGCCTATGCTCGGGTGGCTTTTGGGTGGCCATGGGTACCATTTTTTTCAACTTTTTGGGGGCACCGGTGTGCCCGGTTCCCTCCAAAAGTAATGAATCCCCACTACAAGGGGACACCCCCTATTAATCAACTAGGGGTTTATTACTCCGGGGTTAACATTAAAGCCAAGCAACCAACGAAGGATGCCGATCCTTTTTTCCCATGGAAATCCACTGGGCATCTGAGTTGCATGGGTGGCGCACGAATCGCTTGGCATCGGCCAAATTTGGGGGGGGGGGGGGGCAAGAAACGGGGAGCTGTTGAAAAGAAATGGGTGTGCCAATTGTTAGAGGCTTGCTACCTTTGGGCGTTTAAAGGCAAACCAGAAGGGAAACGATGATAAAATGGGACCCAAATTGTGTTGCCACAAGCGGTTGGTGGACATGAATCACTCCCTTTTGGGGACAACGGATGTTTCACTTGGTAAGGTTGCACAGGATACACAGCTCTTGGGGCAAAACGAGCTCAAAGCGGGTATCACCACGGAGGTTGAGCTCTCAAGACCTCGGCGCTAAGCGCCCCACCCAAAGAGGCTTCGGCCCTCCTTTTGAATGCTTCGAGGGCAAGGGTTTCGGGGTACTTGGGCTTTTGTTTTCTTGGGCTTGGCATGTTGCGGTTTTTTGCGGGTGGCCCGGCCTGGCATCTTTTGGATGGTCGGGTTTGGTACTCGGGTGCTCGTGGTTTGGGAGGCCTCCGATAGGGCAGCAAAGGTACCCCCACAAAAGCAAAAGTGACATTCTCTTGGTTTCCCTGTAAAATCACAGCACAAGGGTACCCTCACAAAAAGACAGGCCAATTTGTGTGTTTGCTCGAGTCCAAGCAGGGGCCAAATGAGTTCGAATGCAAAGGAAGCCAACCCAGAAAGCGTTTTGTTTTTTTGTTTGAGTTTTGTTTTTCTATGTTCTTTTCTCGCTTTTGGTTTAGGGACCAAGCTCGCAAACTGGGAAAGGGCCGTGGGCAGAAGCCTCTGTTGCAATCGCCTGCTTTTGGGGTGCGTTCTTAGGGCGTTCTGGACTGTAAAGTGCACTCAAAGTGTCCATGCCATCAAACGGGCCTTTTCAACCTCCAGATTCAGAGCATGTCCTGCCTTTCCTTTGGATACCTTGGCTTCCGAAAGGATTCGCCCTAAGGGTGAGTCGCGAATCCAGAGGATGACTCGGGCATTCTGGATGTGGCTCGGGATTCAGGACTCAAGATTCCGCGAAGATGTTGTTGTCTTTGCTACAATCTGGGGCTTGGGGGTTCCCGATTCGATCTTGGTGCGGGTTGTCTTTTTGGCGGACCCCCAGAATCGTGTTGTTCCATTAGGTGTCCATTAAAAAGAAGAGAACACCAACAACACTTTTTGGTGCTCGCAAAAAACAACACCCCACATAGTGTACCGGTTATGCAGCCTTTTACCAGAGCCACTGGAACCAATGCACTTGTGCCCAAGGAACAAAAACCCACGCCACAAACGCAGCAAGCAATCAGCAAGCAAGCAAGCAAGCAAGCAAGCAAGCAAGCAAGCAAGCAAGCAAGCAAGCAAGCAAGCAAGCAAGCAAGCAAGCAAGCAAGCAAGCAAGCAGAAGACACGATCGAGCGAGCAAACAAGCAAAAAGGCTGACCGACAGACAAGCAAACAAAGAAAGAAGCAATCAAACACAAACCACAGCGGCCTAAAAAAGAGGACACCACACCAACAGGCGTTGTGTTTCTTCCTTTTTCTTCGTTTTCCCCCCTTCCTTCGCAAAAAGGTACGTAAATTCCACTGGTTGCGGCTATTGTTTTTGGTTTCCCCCCCGCCCCGTCCGCGCGCCTCGCGCGCCTCGCGCGCCTCGCGCGCCTCGCGCGCCGTGCCTTTTTTGGGAGCGAGGCCGGCTGCTCTTCGAGGACGGGGAGCCGTTGACCTTCAAGGAGTTCATGGACGCCATCCTCACGCTGCGCGGCTCCAACCAGACCACGGTGAAGGACCGAGCCGGACGCCTCGGACGCCGATTCGCCGATTCGCCGATTCGCCGCGATCGGGATCGAAACGGATGGATTCGAAAACGGGATGGACGTTACTGGGCTTGTTGGCTCAGCCCGGAAAAACTTGCGAGAGATGCAGGGAATGTGGGAATGACCCTTACTTGAGTGCTATTGGGTTGCGGATCTTTAGACTTTCACTTGTTGGTTGAAATCAAGGGGTTTTCAATCCACTAACCCCCAAAAAGTTAAACTTTCTGCAGGGGAGTCAACAGGGCACACTTCTTCCCCAGAATTAGCTCCCCCTTTTTGTGTTGTTTGCTTTGTTGGGGTTCCTTTGTTTTCCACTAGCCAGGCAAAAAAGATATATATATATATATATATATTTTTCGCTGGGGTCCTAATTCCAGCCTAGAACTTGTTGGTAGTGCGATAGGCGCCTTAAAACAAGTTGCGATCGGTGTGAGAGAGGCAGGGATTGAGAAATGGTTTCTGACCCTTATAAACCATCCAGCTGGAGGTTTAACCTTGAAGGGGACCCCCAGGTTCATTCCCTCTTTTTCTACTGAGCAGTAGCAAGAAAAGTGAATTGGGGAGGGGGACCCATTTTCCCTTTTGAGGGGAATGGGGGAATTGGGGGACCCCCACCCCCTCCGAAAGTACGGGATATTTCTCGGTGGTGGGATTTGTGCCTTCCCACTGCGTTCTGCTAGGCAATCGGATGCTTTGCAAAAAAACGAGAAAAGCCGCGGGGGATGCGGTTCCACGGCACCTGCCTGGCTTGGACCATTTTCCCTTGGAGGCCTGTTCCTTGGGTCCTCCAGACCCAGCAAATTGGTGCCCGTTTTAACCCGTTCCTTTTTTGGTTGGGAGGGTTCGGGACCCTACTAAAATAGACCACAGAAAAAGTTGGCACCCTTGTTCTAACCTCTCTACTGGAAAATCTAGTCCTTCAAGATTTGAATTTGTTGTAGTGATGCGCGGTTTTGTATGGCTTTTCTTTGTCTTGGAGGAGCCCCTTGGAGAGCCTTCATGCTGATTGATCCTTGAACTTGCTGGACCGCTGTTGCCAGCGCCTATCATTCCCAGACACCCATCTGGAACGCCACGTTTCCTACTCAGTTGTTCAGTGGCTTCCACACGTGTTCCCTTTTTGTTTGGCGGCTTCTTCACTGACATTGTCAGCCCAAAAAAAAGGGGTTGCCTTTATCTACCAGCCGTGGTGAACCCTAGGCCTATGTTCATGAAGATGAGCATTGTGGATGTTCGCCAAAAATGCTTGTGGGACTAGACTTCATACCAGGGATGCTAGCCACCCGTGCAGAGGCATTGGTGGGAATGTCCCTCAAAAGCACCCGGCTTTTCGTCGTCAATGCCAAGAATGAAGAGCCCATTGGATGCGACATGTCTGTTTGGGGAAAAAGCCGTGTGCCGTACTCGTAATTCAAACCTGGGTAGATGAAGGTTAGTAGGGGATAGTCCGAGCGAAAGATGGGTGCGTATATCCGCCCTCTTGATTCTTTATTTACCGTGGGGTTTGGGTAGCCGACTTTAGCTATTGTCACACGTGGGCTGTTTGCGCTGCGCAGAAGCTGATCAATGCATGAAACCGTGGAAACTTATTTTGGTCTCTTTGGGTCTAAGCCGTTTTGTGACAAACGGCAATACAAAGACTTTTCCCATTGCAATTGTTGTGCTTGCCTCACTCCCTGAGTTTCTGGACTTTATATGTTTCGGGAAGACCATGTTTGTGGTAAACAACGAGCTTAGACTTTTCGTTGGCCGAGCTACTCAGGAAGTGCGTCGCTTTTGTTTCCCTTTTCCCCTCTTTCGCCCATGAGGGGTTGACGATGGGAAACCAGGATTCATAAACCCCAGCTTGATGATGAATTGGGGCCGTGTCCTTCGAGGGAATCCGGATTAGCAGCATTCGGGCCGTTGGCCATGGGCTGGCCCTACTGCGGATGGTTGCGAAATTCTTTTCGCACCACTTTGAAAGCATTGAAACCCATGATTTGTCGGAGGAAACATCATTCCAAGGTTTCTTAGGTGGTGCGAAATGGATTTTGTTCGTCCACCGTGAGAATTAGAGTTGTTTGATTGGTCATCTAGCTGTTGGTTGGAAGGGGCCGGACAAAGGGCTGGGGGTATCCAAATTTGCGATCAAACAGGGAGCTACCAAGAGCTTGCTTTCAAGCAGTTTATGGACCACTGCTTTAGTTCATATGGACTTTGAGACATGGAAATCTAGGCTACCAGTTTAGCTCACTTCCCGTTCAGGGCCTGTATGCTTTTTGGGTTTGGACATAATGTTGACCCAGGATGAATAACCCGTCCCATTCTTAGGGGGTGTTCCCTCCAAAAGTGGTTCGAATCCCCACCAAAACAGGAGACAGCCCTATTAATCAACCAGGGGTTTATTAATCTGGGGTTAACATTAGTAGATGGGGCTGTTTGGTAATGACCATAGGATGTGCGTAATTCTTTAGCCTGCTCGGAGGTTAGGGTATGTGTCAAAAAGAAGCGCAACAACAAAGGCCCCTCTCAAAGAAGCACGCACGTGAGTGTCTTTTTCGGGTAAGGGGCACCAGGATTAGCAAGCCCCAGGCTGATGTTGGGACATGGGGTGGGCGCTTTTCCTTCACTTTGCTGAATGAGACCCCTTTTCGTATTAGGAGGGGGCATCCGGATCCTGGTCATCATTGGGCTTGAGTGCTATTGAGTTTGATCTTTAGACTGCAATTTTTTGGGTGAAATCAAGGGTGTTTCCATTAAACCCGCACAAAGTTTCACTTTTTGCAGAGGGGACGTTGCAGCAACCAAGAAACGGTCTTTTTGTGGTTCACCTCCGTGCATTGACACTCACACTTGTGTAGCATCCGAATCCTGGTCAACATTGGGGTCAGAGGACATTGTGAACCTGCGCAAGTTCACGGCCGACGAGTTCTCCCACCTTCACACCGTGCTGATGGAGCTCTGCAAGTTTGTGGCCGGCGGCCTGGCCAGTGAATCCGTTTGGGGGGAGGGGTGGGGAGGGCTTTGGGGGAGGTGGGGATTTGGATGTGATGGAACCTTTCTTCAGTCTTTGTGGCAAGGGGTTTGTGCACTTCCATTTTTGGGAGGCAAGTTGTTGGATTTGCTTTGCAGTCCTTATCCCTTGCTCAGACTGCGCGAAAGAGCACGTAGATCCAGGATGAAAAACAACAGCAGTCGCGCGCATACTCTGCATAAACCATTTTTTTTGCCAGGTTGGGGTTGGCCAAAGGGCCGTTAAACCCCATGAAGACTGGGAGACGCTGCCTATGAACTCGTGCAGCATTTCTTTTTTCCATCCACTGCTCAATCAGAAGCCATCCAGGCCACCAGCAATTACCTGCGATCACTCAGAAACGCTTTGTACGTGAGTCCAGTTACAGCATTTTGTTGGCTTGAGATGCGATTGGGTGGTCTACGGTTGGTTTGGGTAGTCCTATGCGGGCGCAGAAGGAGTTTGTCAAGAATACAAGAAGTACCAGCCTATTCAGAGTCTCTCCATGTCCCTTTTCAGCCCGTTTCGGCGGTACCTTTTGAACCACGCTTAGATAATGTTTGGGGGGGGGAAAGAAGGGGCCTCTCTATCTTCTTGAAGAAGGACCACACCATTTGGTGTGGGGTTCACGTCACGCCCACACAGGTCATTCGATGTGCGCGAAACCGGGGCCAGTGGCACTTCCAAAGATGCACCGTTCTATTTCCGAGTTCTCGCTTCTTCCTCTGGCCTCTTTGGCGCTTGTCCTCGCTGAAATAAAGCTCAAAGATGGATGGCTCGATTGTTGCTTATTTGGTTTAGGTTTGACCGGTTCGGGTTCGTTTAGGGGTTGGTTTAGGGTTGGCTTGTAGTGTTTTGGGTTTGGTTCAGGGTTGGTTTAGGGTTGGTTTGTGGTGTTGGTTTTGTTTAGGGTGGGAAATAAACATTGTGGAGAACCTTGCCATGGGAAAACTGCCACTGAGGCGGTGAGACTGTGTGCCAAAAGCTGTTGGCCAAACCGGGACGCCGAAATTTATGTAATCATGGTTCGCCTTTGACTGATGAGTGACCCCTCCCCCATAAACACTAGGGAAAGAAAGGAGTCCGCACAAAAGCAAATACCACAGCCCCTGAGAAGGGACTGGGTCGCTATGGAACATGGCACATCCGCCGGCTGGGTGTTGTCGTTAATGCTGTGGGCGCGGACCCTTGCGGGGGGAACAGAAAGATGAGTAATGGTCAAAAGACCCATTTGCGTGGGGTTGGTAAGGGCATGGACACCTGCGGGATTTTGTTCAAAGGATTCCTCTAAAGGTAAGCCATTACCATGACCAAGAAAGGAGTTCTGAGAATGGCGCGCGTCATGTTGGTTTAATCATCCCTCGCGACAGAAATAGTTTCACCCTGGCGTAGCCCCTGAGATCCGTTGGAAGCCAGTTCATTTGCATATCTGGAACATGGGCTTGGATGAGGCAAATCTGTAGATCCAACCCTCTCGAATTACAAAGCGCTCAAGGAGTGGTAAGGAACCAACGGGCGGGAAACGAGGCGGAATTCGAAAGCGCCTCCATCATGTAAGCCCCACCTCTCCCCCCCCCTGATGTCCCCCTTAAAAAACCCTTTATGGTCCCACCTTATTCATTGGGGCGGGGGACATCTGGGGGGGGTTGGGGCATACATGACAAACTTAAAGGAATTGATGGAAGGGCACCACCAGGAGTGGAGCCTGCGGCTTAATTTGACTCAACACGGGGAAACTTACCAGGTCCAGACATAGTAAGGATTGACAGCTCTTTCTTGATTCTATGGGTGGTGGTGCATGGCCGTTCTCCTAGCCCTTGGATCATTGGACCCCAAAAAGGTGATGCATGTCTTCGTGGCGGCAGCCTCGCATAGATTCGCATAGAAGTTTAACCTTTGTTTGCTTGCGGCAATTTCCGATTTTCCTCTGGTTTTAAAGTACTGGATGTGAAATTCAGAAAGCTAAAGGAAATGGAAGTTTAAGCCTAGACATGCAGATCGACCTTTGCGCACCTGGTTTGCTGGAATTTGGGTTTGGGGAAAAGGGCGAGCTTGGAAAACTATCCCAAACACTCCATGATGCAACATTTACCCACATTTACCTTCCCAATATGCGAAATGTTTTGCTTTTCTCCCTACATGGATAGTGCAACCATGTATTTCTACCTCCTAGGTTTTACATGATGGTTTCCCCTGGCTACACTCTGTGGCTTGCCTGGCACGGGCAACCTACCAAAAGGGTCCTCGTCTCCGGATCCAAGGCCAGGGCATGGCGAAACGTTTGGAGGTGAAGGCTGCCAAGGCGCCCTGGCTTTGGGTAAAGACCCACAACCAAATGGCTGTGGCTCAAAAAACCGGAAGTCCAAAATGGCTTGCCCTGGGAAGTGGAATGAACCAAAACCTGCGGTTTGCCCTTCTGTTTGATTTTGAGCCACAACCAATTGGCCACAAGTCGTGGGCAAGGGGGTACGGGGTTTTGACCCACCTAAATCACCGATTCGGGTCCAAGAGGGAAGCCGACCAGTAGGTGTCCAACTGGGTTTGGAGAACCCCTTGCAACCAAAGCAAGTCGACCGAATCTGACCTTTAAGTTTCCCCTTGTTCCGTTTGACCTTTGGCATTCCCCACCTGGCGATCGGTGCGATAGGCAGGGAGTGAGAAATTGTTTCTGACCTCGATTTAAACCGTCCCGGAGTTGGCTTCCTTTTCAGGGAATCCTAAGCCGCCCCCCCAGTCGCCCCACTCCCCCCGTCCCAAGAGGGGCGATTTCTTCGACTTTGGGGCGGGCCCCCCTCCTGTCGGTTTCCCATGGCATCGGAAGATATCGGGTGAGTGACGCCAGAGTGGCGGATGCAGTCTGCAAGGTCCTCCAGCTAGGTGCAACTTTTTGCCAACTTTTTTGGTTGGGAGGGTTCCCCTACGCAAATAGACTACAGAAAAAAGTTGGTACCCTGATTCTACTGGAGGATCTAGTCTGGAATGGACGAGAAGGGTACGGCATGTTCCACATTTTTGGTTGAGTCAGATTCTGAACATGTCCCACCCACCCTCGTTAGCCCCATAGTTGTTTTGTTTAAAGGATGGTTCCACTTCCCTTGGCTACCTAGTACACAGGGACGTGGAATAACTGGGCTGTTGCTAGCATGTGGTTTTGGTTGTTTGTTGGTTGGGCTGCAAAACAGAATCCGTTTGTTGCTAAGATGCCAAGAGTTGGAAAGTTTCCCGCTACACAATAAAACATGTGTCGTCGGCAAAACTACTTTCGCAAGTGGTCTCAAGTGGCTGCCAAGTGTTTGGAATGCTTTGGATTCTAATAACAACTTGCATTGGGCATGGGATTGTTTATATCAAGCAAATAGAAGTTGTGTTTTGTTTTGAGACCCAATTTGGCCTTGATGTGTTTGTTTTTTAATAACAAAGCCCAACTGAATTTGGGGGGGGTTAAACAAAAGCAGGGATGTTCGCCTTGCCTCGAGGCTGCCAGGAGGGTGGACGAGGTGTAGATCTTGCGCCCATTGGATCGTGGCTAGCCACGTCCCCTGGCTGAAACTCATATGGCTGTGGCTCAAAATATCGTACCCCCAGGGAACATCCGATTCAATCCGACCACTAAAACAGGTTCTAACATGGGTGGTGAATTCACCTATCCCCACTAAAATAGGTTCAAAACCAATAGTACGATTTTGGGATAGGTGATTTGTTTCCACCCATTTTAGAACCTATTTTAGTGGTTGGATTGGGATGTTCACTGGGGGCACGAGGCTTTGACCCACCATATTTTCTTATTTGTCCCCTGGCTTTAAAGGGCTTGAAAGGGAATTTCAACTTCACTAGTTATTGGGATATGTTGTTTCTTTTTGTTTAGGGACTGAAGCAAATGGAAGAACACCGTATTCATTTGCTCCTTGGTTTAGGGGGAAACCAAGAGGGAACCAAACATGGACGCCCTCTTATTTTGCTTGGTCAATTGCCTGAATCAATTCGCGAGAGACCTCACTTTCTTGCCTTGCTTCCATGCTTCCTGCTCAGACTATGGGATGCCGGTGTTGGAAACGGCGGTCAAAAGTTTTGACGGCCCATAAGCAATGAAACTGATAGCGAGGTTCAAAACTGTGGTTCGTTCTGGCAAGCAAACGAAGACTCACTCCTTGAGTTTCTGGACTGTATCCCTTTTTGGGAAGACCATGTTGATGGTAAGTGTTTTTTTTTGGCCAATCTACTCAGGGCAAGCTGGCGAGAGCCGCTTCATTGGCTGATAAGACCGTTTTTCCCGTGAAGCCAAGCAGGGTTCTGAAAATGGGGTACGCTCTCAGGAGCCTGTCCCCTGAAAGATCCAACAAGGGTGATTTACCAGTTGGTTGGACACCTCCCTGACTTGTAGCTATGGATGCTTCAAGAATCAACCTGCAAAGATTAAGAGGCGAGTCTTCGGGCCCATCAAAGTGGCAAGGCATTTGCATGGGTTCTCCTGATGAATCGAACTCACATATGCTGAGTGTGTCCCAAGTGTCCAGTGGCACTCGTCGTCTTCCTTTTGTTGGGTGGGAGTCCAACTCAAAATCATCAATCCTGAAAAGGTGATCCCTTTGCCTACCAGGGTCACTGGCAACTGTTTGTTTCATCCTTTGGAGATGCCCAACAAGTCTTGCAGGTCAGAGTTGTATGTTGTCCTTGTGTTCCAATGTTGTTGCCAGAAAACGACATACTGTGGATGGACGAAATCCTGCACCACCTAAGAAACCCTGGATTGGTGATTCCTTCATAAATGCCAATAAGAAATGGTTTCCCATGGTGTCTTGGGTGGTGCAGGGTGTCGTCCATCCACAATAGCATAGCCCTCGATCCAGCTTTTAGCAGGCGTTCCAGAAAGAACAAGGTTCGGTCAAAATATGAGTCGCTTGTGTTCTTATTGAACCAAACGTGAGGGGCATGGGCCCTCTGATTGGATTGATCACGCTCCCCGTCCCAAAAAAGCAAAAGCAACGGGAAATTATTGGAGAATGTCCATGTCCTAGCGGGCACATCTTCTGGTAGTAATGTTGCCATGTCGCAGCGCCCGAAATTGATTCCAAGTGGCCGTTTTGTACGTGGATGAACTGCCAGGTTTGTGCAATTGGCATCATAATTAGATCCATAACAATAACTTTATGACCATGTTAGAAGGACAAGTCGGCTGGGTGTTGAGCTCCATGTTCACCAAGCAAACGCATGTTGTTGCTGTTTCTTTCGGGGGGGGGAGGCCGCTCGGCCGGTGGGACATGACTGAACCACCTCAATCGACATTGGGATTGGACATGTTGATATGTCTCGACCCCCGGGCTCGGTTCAAACGCCTTGGACGTCTCCAAATCGTTCATGTCCTAAGCCGGACGGTAACTCAAGACATTTTAATTCAGCCCCAGATGCAACCAGTATATGGTGAGGGCTGCGGTAGGATGATACAACCCCCGGATATACAACTAGGTCCCCCAGTAGTGCCGTTTCTTTTCTCGTTTCTTTTTCGGGGGAGGGTTCCCCTACTAACATAGACAGCGAAAAGTTGGTACCAACTTATTCTAACCTTAAACTACCCGAGGACCTAGCAAGTGAAAGAGAGATGCTGCAGGGGTTCACTGTGATTAGCCAGCCGGATTCGGATCGCCTCCGGATCTTTCGCTGCCTACTCATGCACTTCCGGGCAAAAATGCGGGCAAAATGAAAGGAGCTTACCTGGTGTTGAAAGCGTATCATGAAGACTGGCATCTTTTTTTTTAAGGTTCCTTTTTTGAGTTTACAGGTCAGATCACGATTTGCCCGGATCTAATTACTTACAACACTTGCACTTTTTTTGTGCACAAAGCCGGCGTTTCACAAAACCGGGTGCTCAGCGGCACGTCTCTGATTCGGACATTGGGCAACAACTCCAGTGCGTGCAATCAATATGCATGGCGAGAGGCTGCACCCAAGGCCATGTTCTACGGCAAGACCTCTTGTGTATGGCTGGGTTGTCTCAAAATAGGTTGAAACCCTAAAGATTGGCTGCTTTCCCTCTTGGTTTCCTCTCGACATAGCTCCAAAACTGTACAGAGCCTCAAAAACACATTGATCTGACCCCTATAAACCATCGATCCGATTTGGTTTTCTTTTAAGGGACCCCCCTTCCGGTTCATTCCCAATGCCCGGGCTTATTGGGGTTCATTCTCAGGATCCCCACTCACCTGAGATCTGCTCTGGGCAACCGGCATGGAGAAGCCAGCCCACGGAAATCCCGTGCAGGAAGTCCGCACGTGCGCGCCACGGTCAATGCACTTGGCCCAGTTGCCCAGTGGGTTGCTTTGGGGAAGGCTTCCCTTTAAACTCAACCAACCAAAAAAGGATGCCCTTTTTTCCCCCTGGCCACTGGGCAGAGTTGGGATACTTTGCTTGACACGCAAGCCGAACAGTCCAGCTTTCTCGAGCAAGCTTGTTTGCTTTATGGCTATTCGGTTGGATCTTTGGACTTTATCTTTTTGAAAAACAGGTCAACCAAGTTTTGGGCGAGCCCCTTCTTTGCTTTGTCGACAAGGTTTTTGACAACCAGGATTCCACTTGAGGGATCCAGACATACGGGTCCCAGAAGTGTTGTTGATGGCGCGTATCCTGCGCGATGTTTTCCGGCGGCCTCGTTGAACTGTGCCGAGCTCCGTAGGGAGCCAGTGAGAGAGTGCGCTGTCGCTTCAGAGCTTGCCCTTTTTCGGCCAAAAGGGCGGCGCACGTCTTGGGTTTGGACCGATCTTGGCCCACTTGGCAAAGAACGAGCGCTTCTTCTGTGGCACCAAATCGTTTTGCCTCTTCGTTTTGGATGACCATCGTGGCAAAGAAAGTCGTCTTGTTCTGTGGCACCCACAAAAATATTGATGTTGACCCCTGATTCAGAACCCCCCCGCTATTACTCAGGGGTCCCACTAAACAGGGGGCCTCCTTGATACGTAGTGGGTGCTTTGGATTCGTGGTTTCTTCCCTAGAATCAGTTCCCCTTTTTACATGTTTGCCTTTTTGGGGCCTTCTTTGTTTTCCACTAACCAGGCAAAACATGTATTTTTTTGCTGGTGTCCCCTTCTTCCAGCCAAGGTTTGGGGATTTCAGCCCCGGACCTGTTGCAGAGGAGAAATGGGAATCCACCGGAACTCTTTTCCCACCGGGCTCCCAACCACCAGTTGAAAGCAGGTGACACCAAGAGGAAAAAGCAGCCCCTTTGAACTGGTGATATTTTCACCAGTTATATTGTTTTGCCGCCCCTGGCCCCTGGCTGGTGATGTTTTCACCAAAGCAGCCCCTTTGAATCGGTCAGGACCCGTGGTCACCACGACTCACCAAGGGTAGCCACGACGAGCTTCAGCTGTAACGACGACAAGTTTGGCGGTAGTCTGAATCGGTGATATTTTCACCAATTCGTTTTTTGCCTTTGGTGAACGCCAAGAAAAGTGTCTTCTTTTTTTTCTCTCCGTTTTTTGCCCCACGGGTCACCAGGCCCCGGGCCCTGCATCCCGAAAACCAGCTGCTTTGCCAGCGGGATCTCTGTCTCGCTGGTTCACGGGGATCATCTGAGTCTTACTCCCTGAGTTCCTGGACTTTGGGAAGATATGTTTCGCCAACGCCACTCCTCCTCTATCCCATTCTTGTTCATCCTCCTTCCCTTTCAGGTCCTTCGGTAGAAGCTAGGAAGAGGTATATCTTATGGACGAGTCCGCGAGACGAAGGAATGGATTGGTCATCACTCTCTCTTCCCTCCCATTCCTCTATCTGTTGGTCTCCTTCTATATCTTGTCCTAACTGCGAGCGAATGAAGAGAGCGGGGAGACCAACGGTTAGACAAAGGAATGGGATAGAGGGATAACGACCTGACGAGCGAAGATGAGGAAGGAAGTGACCGTTCCCTCGCTTCTCTCTGTCACTCACATCTATCTCTTACTCACGGCTGTGTCACAGATCCCTTTCCAGCCGTGTATCTCTTCTCTCTTCCCTTTCTCTTCCTTAATAAAAATGAAAATAAAAGAAACAAGATAAAGAAATATAATAAAATAGCATTAAATAAAAGTAAATAATTAAATAAAAAATAAATATTAAGATATGAAAATAAGGTGATTGCTATTACAAAAAGGCTCGCCATAAAGGCATTCTATCTTTCTCAGTTGTTCAGTGGCATCATTGGTTTTCCTCATTTTTTTGGTCGCTGCCCGACTAAGAATGATCTTCCCCAAAGAGGGTTCCCTTTTTTTCCAGGGTCACTGAACAGCTGAGACTCAAGTGAGGTCAAGGAGATGTTCAAGGCTCGGAATTAATCCTTTGAGGGACCCGGCTACGGTTCGAATCTCCGGATGGCTGAGGGGAGCGCCAATCGAAGGAAATCGATTGGAGGTGTTTTGGCACTCAAACGTGAACCCGCCCTTGTTTTTGTAGCTCACGCAGGATCGCTTGCTAATCCTTTGCAACAGGGATCCTTGGGGAGATGAAAGAAAGTAGATTGGCATGAGGCATGCCAGCTCGACTTCACGCGCAAATCCATCTGCCACTTCCACCCCCCCAAACAACAAAAGAAGAAAAAGATCCTGCCTAAAGGGTCCCGATTGATTTGGGGGCCTTAAAATGGGTTTCTGAGGGTTTTCTGAGGGGTCGGTCCCTTGGAGGGTCCAGGGGTCTACATTGGAGGGGTCATGACCCTTAGGCCGGTAATCTCTTTCGGCCTTAGCGGAAAACTTTGGGGAAGGGGGTAAATAGTTGGGATCCTCGAAACGGAAGTCAGGCGGAAGTGAGATCGAACTTCCTTGAGACACTCGGTTTTGGGCTCCCGAAACCCCAAGCTGAAAGGACGAAGGGCAAAGGCCCGAGCCGCGAGCGAGCCGAGAGCAACCGGGGCTCAGGAGTCCTAGGTCCAGCAATTGGTGCCTTTTTACTCACTTCCTGAGTTCATGAACTTTATAAACACTTTTTGGGTTTGGACCATTTGAGTGGTAGATGTAAAGTTTGGGCTTTTTGTGGGCCATCCACTCAGCAAGTGAGGATAGAAACGGGTCTTGAAACGACAGTGACACAGATTGCCCAGAAACTCAAACAACTGAGTGGGAGTTGCCCTACCCAAATCATGCCCTTCCAGACGCTTGCTCTCGTTTGCAGCTACCTTACCCAGGCGAAATATTCTCTGGCGTTTGTCGGATAGAGCCCTTGCCGGCGCTGCGCTTGGCATACCCTTGAAAATATGGGAGGCCGTACTATTGACTCACTTGCCTCTTTCAGACCAAGGGATTGCCTCCTCAACCCCGCCGAAAGGCAAATCCCTTCTGGTAGAACAACAATTTATTGACATCCACAGTGGCTTCCGCAGGTTCAGTCACCGACTTTCCGGCCATGGGTTGGTGTGACGTCTTTGGGTGTCCAACCCAGAGAACATGAGCCCCTATAGGTGTCCTTTCGATCGCTTAGTTTTATTCAAGATCAAGGGCAGTGGTTTTTAGATGGGTGTTTTATTTCATTTCCCAGGGCCATCTGGTTTCTTCCCCCAAAGGCCACCCATGCCCCAAGCTTTGTTTGGGGTTTGCCACGCCCGACTCAATGGACCACTCCGCTTACGCAAGCGCAAGCACCTTGCGAGGCCAGCTCACCGGGGCTCCCACGCACGCCTGTGGCCCCCTTCGGGCGGTGGAACTCTGCCGGGGTCACCGGAGCTATGCCATGCACGGGGTTGTGCTTGGCTCATGGACATGAATAGGTGTTTTTGTTGATTCTCGTTTTAAAGGGAATCGATTGCACTACCGGAAGTATGTTCTCATGGTTGCCAGGGGCGAAAAGCAAATGGAAGTCTACGCGGGGAAAGCTTGCGCGGGTCCCCAATGTTTTGACACGTCTCCATCCGTGACTCCTCACTCCCAAATTTGTGAGGGATTGGTCGCCATTTTGTGGCAAACAGCAAGTCTGGGTACTTTTTGGTGTGAGTTTCAGGGTGTCAACTTTCCAAAGTGCTGGGCAGCTTGGACCGGTCAGGTGTGCGCACCGTGTACATGAATTGCGGCTCCAACTCTCCCCTTCTTGGGCCGCGGGTTAAAATCATCGCATTTTTGTTGGTTTCTATACTAGGTCCCCCAGTAGTGCCCTTCTCACCTCTTTTTTGGGGGAGGGTTCCCCTACTACAATAGACTACAAAAACGAGGGTACCCTTATTCTAACCTCTCTACTGGAGGACCTAGTATATTTCCCTTGGGGGCGTGTACACATCGCCTTTTTGGTTGCCATCAAAGGTGAGCTTTCTTGCATGGGTATTTTTTTCAGGTGTCCGTTTGGTTTGCCTTTGTGATCCAAGTGATGGCGTGCATCTGAATGTTCACGCCGAGAGTTGACCCAACCCCGCATAAACCCAGTTGCAACCAGTGGCTTCCGCCGACACGTTTTTTTTCTTCTTCGACTTGTTTTTGGGAAGGGGTCCGATTCCAATAAACCTCTGCCAACCAAAAAAGGATGGCGATTCTTTTCTTCCCCACGCAAGCCCACTGGGCATCTGAGTAAGGCATGTTTGAACAGCCCGCTCGTTCCCCGAAGCAGGTTGGAAATCAAAGCCCGTCTTGGGGATTCCGATCCAAGAGAGTTCATCGAGGCTTTTGATAGGGTGTCTTGGGGATTCCGATCCAAGAGAGTTCATCGAGGCTTTTGATAGGGTGCCGAAGCGGGTCTGGTTGAAACCCATTTCCCCCATATTGCTTGGGTCTCCAATATGGTTTGTTTACTTTTCAAGAGCTCGATACCTGAGCCTTTCGCTCAAAGTCTCCTGACAACTGGGCATGCTCAAAACTTGGCTGGGAAGAATTGGAAGCCCTAGGAAGGCCCCAAAAGGCCCAAAAGGTGTCCTTTCTCTGGGAGTCCCACCTAAAATCCCGATAGAATTCATCCCTAAAAAAAAAATGCATCCCCTTTTTTTATGGCAAAAGGGGTAACCCTTTCTCTGGGAATCCCACCGTTCAAAAGCCCGTTTTCAACCCGTTCATCACGGGTTCTGGGCCTGTGGGATCGAAGTTTTCGAGGTGCTCCTCCCATTTTGGCCGCTCTGTCCTCTCCTTTTGGTTTCCATGTAACCTGGTTAAAAACACCCCCCCCCCCCCCGAAAAACTGAGATACCAAACAAAAAAGACCGACCCAAGTTCCCCTTTGCCAGGTGGAAGCCCCCCCACCCCCCCTGGAAAAACTGAGACACCAAAAAAAAAGACCCAAGTACTCTCCCACCCCTCTGGAAGACGCGTTCCGCGAGGCCTTCTGGGAGCTTCGGTTGATCAATAGGCTGGGGCGTTGTAGGGAATCACTGTTTGGGGAAGGAAGAAAACCCATAAGACACCTACGCATCCAGGTTGATGAATTCAAAGTCAACATGTGCCGTGAAGCTGCCTGGAGAGGATGTGGGAGGTTTCTCCTGCGGCCTGCCCACCCAATCCTTGCAACCTCCTTAGGGGTTCTCACAATGCCTAGAATGAACAATGCCTTTTCTTGCTGCTGAATGCTTCCCGATACATCACTTTTGCACCTGGGTCAGTCTGATCCTGTAGTCGTTCGTTGCTTAAAGTATCGTCATCCTTGCTCTATGTTTATTGCTCAACGTGATTGGAATTAAAAGTGACGCAAGCAGAAAGAACAGACACACATATGTGTGTATACCATTGTCAACAGAGCCACATTCCAATCATGTTACATCTCGACGTGTTAAGATGTTGTTTGCGCTAGCCACGAACTGCGCATTGGCTCGGCTCCAGTCACAGGCTGAAGTTTCGCCAAGCGAAAAGCTGGCCACAGCCCTGAGTTCCTTCACACACTTCCTCAAAAACTTGGGGATCCGCAAAGACGCATCGCGCCGTTTTTGGCGTATCGCGGCGCTCAGAAGGAGCCCTCAAAACGAGGGCGCATCGGCCGGATTCGGTCAACCGTCACATGGCGATCTTCGTGGAGGCGGAGTGCGCGCTGACACAGGCGCGCGGAGGCGAAACAAAGCTTGCCGCCTGAAACGCGTGGCACCTTTGCTCACATGAGCCATAATCAAAACCGATTCGGGTAGATGAAGGTGAGTAAGGGACGATCCCATTGCCACAAATAGCTGCGGAGATCCGCCTTCTTGATTCTTGAACCATGGTTCTGGGTGCACCATTTTTGTACCAGGTTTTGATTATGACTCACATGGAGGCTTCCATGTCCACTGGCTTTCCTTCGGTTTCCATTGGCTTCTCCATTGGCTTCTCCATTGACTTCCACTGGTTTTTCCCTGATTCCCCCCGGGCTTCCCTTGGCTTTTCCACTGGGTCTCCGAGGGCTTTTCCATTGGGTTTCTCCCAGCTTCCCGGAGTTTCACCCTGCTTCCCATTGGCTTTTCCCTTGGTTTTCCCTATATTTCCACTGGTTTTCCCTTGGGTTTCCCCCGGCTTCCCTTGGCTTCCCTTGGCTTCCCTGGGGGTTTCCTTTGGCTTTCCTTCGGTTGTTTTTTTTTTTCCTCTCAGGAGGGCGACGAGGTCTGCCTGGCCGGCGCCACGGCCAACCTGGGCGCCTGGGACGTGTCCAAGGCGCTGCGCCTCAGCACAGGCGGGGCACGCGACGCGCCGCCGTGGGGCGAATGGCGAAGCGGTCGGCCGAAATCCAAAGGGAAGCCAAAAGGGTTGGAAAGGTTTGGTTGGCTCCTGAACTGTTGTTTTGTTGTTATTAGAACTTTTATTAAAAAATGGTTGGGTTTAAAGGGAAACACAGAGCAAAACCACACTTAACTTCCTTTTTGGGGCTGGTGGAGGGCCATTAAGAAAATGAAGACACCCACATGGCCAACGGTTGCCTGGGTTCCATGTTGCAGGAGTCTGGAGGCTACCTGGGTCAGCGCTGAACATGGCCCATGTTGGAAAGATTCAGCCAACTTTAGCAGTTTACTTCCATGAAATGAATAGTGTTTTAATTTCCCCTGGTTGGTTTCAAAGGGAATCTATCAATACTGGAAATATTTGATTATCTTTGCAGGGGACTTCAGCAAATGAAGGATCGTCAAGCCACAGAGAACGCTCCCATGAAAGCCAGTTGTTCATTGGTACCTGTAATCCCCAATTTCACCCATGCTCTCCCCATTAACTGTTCCGACAAACAAGGTATGGGAAATCGACTTTTGTAACGGGAACCCTGGTTGATGAATAGGGGAGTCCGGATCATCACTTTTGGGAATACACCCTTATTAATGAAACCGGTGCTACTTAGATCCGGGGTCAACATTATGTAAAATAAACTTGTGTCCTGCCTTTTGGCACAAGTTTCATGTGCGGCGCTGCCCCCTGCTTTGTTTGTGTCGCCTTGACCCCGAGGGGTTGCTGGGCAGGTCGCTTGAGCTGATCAGGTGAGTCATAATCAAAACCCGGTACAAAAATGGTGCACCCAGAACCATGTAAAGAACAAAGAAGGCGGATCTCCGCAGCTATTTGTGGCAAGGGGATCGTCCCTTACTAACCTTCATCTACCCGAATCGGTTTTGATTCTGGCTCACTTGGCATTCCCCCCAAACTCAAGCTTGAAGAAATTGGGGTCACTGGATTTCCCCTTAAGTTGCCCAATTCCTTCACCGGTTTCCATTGAAATCGGTTTTGCTTGCCGCTCAGGCCCGGAGATCTGGCCCCGCTGGGCCGCGGAGGTCGAAGTGCCCAAGGGTACGGAGTGCAAGCTCATCCTCCGACGATCCTTTGCAGCCCCAAAAGTTTCGGGAAGAATCTTTGAATCGGGCGACCGAGCCCCCGGGTTTCTTTCCTTTTTTTTTTTGCGGGAGGCTCAAAAAGGGCCCCTAGATGCCAAGCGTTTGATGGCTAAAAAAGAGTGGAGTGGGACAAAGATCAGTGTGCGTTCCTGACCTGGAACCCCATCCAACATGGCAAAACTTGCTGGATGCTTTAAATCGAGGCAGCAACCAAACTCTCATTCGGAAACACCAGTTGGATGCTTTAAATCGAGGTCAGCAACCATAACTCTCATTCGGAAACCATCAGTTGGATGGTTTAAATTGGGGTCAGAAACCATATCTCTCATTCGGAAACCACCGGTTGGATGGTTTAAATTGGGATCAGAAACCATAACTCTCATTCGAAAACCGCCAGTTGGATGCTTTAAATCGGGGTCAGAAACCAAGCTCTTATTCGGAAACCACCAGTTGGATGCTTTAAATCGGAGGCAGCAACCATAACTCTCATTCGGAAACCACCAGGATGCTTTAATTCGGAGGCATTCGGAAACCACCAGTTGGATGCTTTAAATCGGAGGCAGCAACCAAACTCTCATTCGGAAACCACCAATTGGATGCTTTAAATCGGAGGCAGCAACCATAACTCTCATTCGGAAACCACCAATTGGATGCTTTAAATCGGAGGCAGCAACCAAACTCTCATTCGGAAACCACCAGTTGGATGGTTTAAATTGGGGTCAGAAACCATAACTCTCATTCGGAAACCACCAGTTGGATGGTTTAAATCGGGGTCAGAAACCAAACTCTCATTCGGAAACCACCAGTTGGATGGTTTAAATTGGGGTCAGAAACCATAACTCTCATTCGGAAACCACCAGTTGGACGGTTTAATTTGGGGTCAGAAACCATAACTCTCATTCGGAAACCACCAGTTGGATGGTTTAAATTGGGGTCAGAAACCATAACTCTCATTCGGAAACCACCAGTTGGATGGTTTAAATCGGGGTCAGAAACCAAACTCTCATTCGGAAACCACCAGTTGGATGCTTTAAATCGGAGGCAGCAACCATAGCTCTCATTCGGAAACCACCAGTTGGATGGTTTAAATTGGGGTCAGAAACCATAACTCTCATTCGGAAACCACCAGTTGGATGGTTTAAATCGGGGTCAGAAACCAGACTCTCATTCGGAAACCACCAGTTGGATGCTTTAAATCGGAGGCAGCAACCATAGCTCTCATTCGGAAACCACCAGTTGGATGGTTTAAACTGGGGTCAGAAACCCTAACTCTCATTCGGAAACCACTAGTTGGATGGTTTAAATTGGGGTCAGAAACCATAACTCTCGTTCGGAAACCATTAGTTGGATGCTTTAAATCGGAGGCAGCAACCATAACTCTCATTCGGAAACCACCAGGATGCTTTAATTCGGAGGCATTCGGAAACCACCAGTTGGATGCTTTAAATCGGAGGCAGCAACCAAACTCTCATTCGGAAACCACCAATTGGATGCTTTAAATCGGAGGCAGCAACCATAACTCTCATTCGGAAACCACCAATTGGATGCTTTAAATCGGAGGCTGCAACCAAACTCTCATTCGGAAGCCACCGGTTGGATGGTTTAAATTGGGGTCAGAAACCATAACTCTCATTCGGAAACCACCAGTTGGATGGTTTAAATCGGGGTCAGAAACCAAACTCTCATTCGGAAACCACCAGTTGGATGGTTTAAATTGGGGTCAGAAACCATAACTCTTATTCGGAAACCACCAGTTGGACGGTTTAATTTGGGGTCAGAAACCATAACTCTCATTCGGAAACCACCAGTTGGATGGTTTAAATTGGGGTCAGAAACCATAACTCTCATTCGGAAACCACCAGTTGGATGGTTTAAATCGGGGTCAGAAACCAGACTCTCATTCGGAAACCACCAGTTGGATGCTTTAAATCGGAGGCAGCAACCATAGCTCTCATTCGGAAACCACCAGTTGGATGGTTTAAACTGGGGTCAGAAACCCTAACTCTCATTCGGAAACCACTAGTTGGATGGTTTAAATTGGGGTCAGAAACCATAACTCTCGTTCGGAAACCATTAGTTGGATGGTTTAAATTGGGGTCAGAAACCATAACTCTCATTGGGAAACCACCAGTTGGGGTCAGAAACCATAACTCTCATTCCCTACTTCTCGCACCAAGAAACGAAGCCGCCGGCCACCACTTTGGGCCAGATTCCGATTCCGCCGATTCCCCCGATGTGGCGAATCGGGCGTGATGTCATCGCGATCTACTTGGCAAGTGGTTCTTTTAGTTTTGGGAGTGCAGGATTTATCCAGCTTGTTGCTGGGGTCATTATTTTGACGCTTTCTGGGAGTTATCAAAGTCAGAAAATGGTTGTTTCCCTTTAACCCACCACTTAGTGGGTGACTTTGAGCAGGGTAAAATAATGAGGCCAGTGTTGCGTGGCCCTCAAGTTCGCCCGCTCCCTTGTCCAATCTTTCTGTACTCGGCCAAAGGTGTCCTTGTAACTCATGGCTACTGGACTAAGAGAACAAACTAAAGGGAGTCTTTGGGAAAGAGATAATGTTGGTTGGTTGGCTGGCTGGCTGGCTGGCTGGCTGGCCGGCCGGCTGGCTGGTTGGTTGGTTAGTTGGTGGTTTGGTTTGGTTTTGTTTGGTTTGGTTTGTTTGGTTGGTTGCTTGGTCGGTTGGTTGGCTAGCGCCAGCCGCACTTGGACTTAGGGCTGCATATTGTTGTTTCAGTTGGGACTTGCTTGGGCCTTTCCCTCCGCCAGCACTTGACCAAATAGAGCCTGATCTTTAGACCCTTCACCACCTGAGAATAGGACAGTTCGATGGAAAAAAAGGGGGTGGCCGTGCGCACGCCCAAGGCGCAGTTGATCAGTGCCCAAAACTAATGCGGGTCGTTTTAGCTGGGGGTTCTACTGCATGGTAGAAATGGGTCATAGTGAGGCCATGCTATAGAAGCCTTGAACTGCCAACAGTCAATGACGTTTGAGCGCTGCGGGGCAAGTACATGTTTGTTGGCATGTCATATGCCTCAGGACGTGCGGGGCAAGTGGAGTGGGAGGGTATCAACGGCAATCGAACTTGGCCGGAGGCCAGTGCGAAGGACGGGTTTGGCAAGTCGCTTGTGCAGTCGTGTTCTAACATGACTACCTAGGGCTCAAGCAAAGCGTTAACATACCTACCATTGTTTACCTAAGGAGTTTCATCCTCCAAATTGGGTCAACCATTCTTTTGATGGGCGTTGAGCCCTGGGGTATGGTTTCAAAAACCAATGCTGTTGGGGTAAAGCACGATTGTTTCAATGACCGACGAGAGGGCCAAATAGGAAACGGCTCTGGTTGTGAGAAAACAACCAAAAACGCCAATTCACATGGTATGTGTTTGGTGCCCCTGAATATCAGTGTTCACCTTTTTGGTTGCCTTGAGTCAAGACCCCATGGACGCAACACCGAAGGCGAAGCTCTCCATGAAGTTCGGGGTCCCTGACATGAATCTCCGTCAGAACAGCGGCTACGCCCCGGCCGCGACGAGTTCCAAAGCCTCGACGGCATTGACGCCACCCGCCCAAGCCCCCGTGAATCCAGCGCCGCCAGCGGCCGTGACTCCGGCCGACCCCAACGCCGCGGCTTCTGTGCGCCTGCCCAGCGCAGCGATGAAAGGGCTGAAGGTGCCGGAAGAAGAGGGCCATACGTTGACGTCGCCCGGGTCCAGCAAGACGCCCAAAAGCAGGGACTTGAGAGGGCGCTTCATCATTGAGATGGAGGATGGATATGAAACCAACATCGAAGAGCGCTTTACCATGGACAAGACCCAGATTCTTGGCTTAAGCTTATTTGGGTGTGCCTCAAAATTATCCAGGAGGGGTTACGCAGGTTTTGGTCCATGTTTCCACTTCTCAGGGTTCCATTGTGTATCGGTTGTTTGAACCATAGCCATTTGTTGTTAATATTGCCGAGCTTGTCCCACGGCTCAATGGGTCAACTTGTATCGTCCCAAAAGCTTCTCCTTTCCTGGCCAATGTGACCTGAAGCAGCTCTTCTGTGACGCTCATTTGTGTCCCCCTTTTCTTGACTTGACTAATGTTTACCCCAGATCTAAGTAGAACCGGGGTGCTGGCCGCTCCAAAAGTGGTCTGATTCCCCACACCCGGGAACACCTCGAATTAATACACCAGGGGGTGTTTCAATCCGGGGTCAGCATGGCAATCCCAAACGTTCCGATGGCATAGGTGTCCTTTTTGATTGATTTGGTTTAAAAATAGAGGGCGATTCCTAGTTTTCCTGGTGGTTCCATCAACTACCAGGGAAATCCATCTATTTTCCCAAAAAGGACACCTATGCTTGGTGCTTTTCAGACCTTAGGATTGGGGACGGAGCATTCAGCGTGGTGACGCGGGCAACGAACAAGGCCACTGGCGCCGTGCGGGCGGTGAAAAGTGTGCTGAAGAGTCGAGTGCCGTCGATGGAAGCCTTGCACGCGGAGATTGAGATGGCCAAGAACATGGACCACCCGAAGCATGGCCAAAGACGGCTTTAATGTTGACTGAGAACAAGAACAGACCTCAGGGGTCAGGGGTCCTGAACCCACCCAGTTTCTATGTTCTGGGGTCATTATGTTGACGGTTTCCCTTTTAACCCACCATTGAAGGGGTGACTTTGATCCTGGTAAACTAATGAGGCCAGATGTTGCCCCCTCAGAAAAAAACATCCACCCCCCCTCTCCCCCGGATTGTGGCCGAGAAAGCCAGCTAAACCTTTGTCTTCACATGGGTTCTTCAATTAAGGGGACCCCCCCCAAAACACAAAAACGTGTTTTTCCTTTTGGCGTCCCTTGAAAACCCACCAAAAGGGGCTTTCCCCAAAGAAGAATCGCGACAGAGCCAGATCTGTAAGGAACATCGTGAGGTTATACGCGGTCTACGAGGATCAACGCCATGTCTACTTGGTCATGGAGCTGTGTGAGGGAGGGGAGTTGTTTGACCGGGTCGGAGACGCCTTTACAGGCGCCATGGATCGAGGAAAAGGAGAGACCAACCCCAGTTTTGGATGAAACCGGGTTTTGACCCACACCCCTGGTGTAGGGGATCCCCCCTCCTTCAAACAAAAACTGGGTGATGGTCCTGTTGCTTCCATTTGGTGAAATGTATGTTTTATACGTTGCCCTGTTGGTTTTATATAAAGGGAAACGATGTCGCTACTGGAATTGTTTTTCATTTTTCAGAGGGAAGGAAAAGCAAGTGGAAGAGAATGGGGGGGATTTCAGGGCGCCAACTTCTGTGACACGGGGACCCTCTTTGAAGTGACATGTGGGCTATGGAAACTCCACTTGGGCAAGAGGCTTCCATTTCCACACTTGCCCAAAGCGAATCGACCGGATCTGACCATGCAGTCCCTTGTTTTGGTGCCCATGTCTAGTTATGGGTTGAAAAGGTGATTTCCTTCGGGGCAGCTGAGTTTGCCCATTTCTGGACCCCGTTGCCCATTTCTGGTGGCCCCAAAAGGCGATCACCTGCCAGCTGAGCCACAATCAAAACCCGGGTAGATGAAGGTTAGTAAGGGGCAGTCCCAGCCAGAAACAGTTGCGGCCGCCTTCTTAATTCTTTACGTAGTTCTGGGTAGACCATTTGGCCATGGGTCAACACCAATGGTACCATTTTCGGGTACGTGCACCAGCCATTTTAGAACCTATTTTAGTTGGGATTGTGATGTTCACTGGGGGTACGATTTGGGTTTTGACCCATGGCCATTTTCAATACCGGGTTTTGATTGTGACTCAGCAAAGAGTTTCAGGTGAGCCACAGTCAAAACCCGGGTAGCTGAAGGTAAGTACGGGACAATCCCAGCCATAAGTAGTTGCGGATATCCGCCTTCTTACTTCTTTACATGGTTCTGGGTAGACCATTTTATTGCCGGGTTTTGAATCTATGACTCAGGTGGAGAAGAGGTGGTGCGGAAGTGCATGCGCCAGATCTTCGCCTCCGTGGCCTACTGCCATGCCCACAGCATTGCGCACCGCGACCTGAAGCCGGAGAACTACTTGCTGCATGACAAGGACCGGCTCTCCATCCATGTGCTGAAATGCTTAAACAAATAACAGTATTACTATTTTTTAATTTTCCCCTGTTGGTCTTTAGAGGAAATCTATCACTACTGATTTTTTAATTATTTTCGCCAGGGGACTTAAGCAAATGGAAGGGTGTCAGCAGTGCCCCCAGTAGTGCCCTTTTACCCTTCTTTTGGAGAGGGTTCCCCTACTAAAATAGACGACAGAAAAAGGGGCACCCTTATTCTAACCTCTCTACTGGAGGACCTAGATACCTTTTTTATTGTCCCCTGTTAGTTTTTAGAGGGAATCTATCACTACTGGACATATTTGATCATTTTTGCAGGGCACTTAAGCAAATGGAAGGCTCTCAGTCGGGACTCGGACATGGCGAGTCGACCTTTGATCTGATCTCACCTGAATTGGTGTTGTCCCTCTTTTGGTCGATGTTTCGTCAGGTTCCAAAAGGGTGATGGGGCAAGGGAGGGGAAGTTCAATTCGAGGGTTTAAAGCAGTTGGGATCAACTGAAAGCGAAGCGATTGTTCAGTTTTGGGTCATTTATGTCCATTCCCTGCAACAAAAGCAAGACGGGGACAGTGGGCACGCGTTTTTGAGGGTGCCCATTTGTTTGGGGTGTTCCTCATAAGACTGGAAAAGAGTTCGCAAATGGAATCGCGAGTTTAGGGTGCTGGTTTGAAATTGGGCTATCCTAGTCCAGTATTGCCCCCACCCGGGTTTTGGAGAGACAATTCTATCATTAAAGGGACCTTTGTTATTGGGGCCCTATTTGGACACTGGAGTGCGTCTTGCTTTTGAGGGTACCCTTTCTTGGTGGATTTACAGGAACGCCAAAAGGAAAACCCAAATCCATGTCGGGGCTCCGATTCCTAGAAAAAAGAAAAAGATGAGCCACCCACATCGATGCGGTTACTTTGGGTGCCCGTGTGACATCCCGCACCCCCACCACCCCACCCCCACCCCCACCCCCACGACCCTTACCCCCGCGATTGCCTTGCGCCTTTGTAAGGACAAGCCATTGGCAGAGACCACCTTGAAGCTCATCGATTTCGGCTTGGCCAAGCGATTGCCGGAGAGCGGGCACCTGAAAACCCGAGTGGGCACACCCTACTACGTCGCGCCGGAGGCAAGCACGGTTTAAGAAACGGATCGGCGGAGAAGAACCTGATTTGGCCAAGAGAAAGAACAGGGAGCCCAATGAAGCCTGTGGCGAATCTTTGCATTTTGCCAAGGGATGTTAGGACTTCAACTTTTTGCCAACTAATGGGTTTTCCGTATCAAACCACTAAAAGTTATTCAATCTTAGCAGGGGAGCAGAAAGCAACCGAGGAATGACGCGGTGTTTAAACATTTTGTTCTACGACCAATCTTGTCAGCATTTCGCCTGCTTCACCTTGCGGCTCTTTCATGCGCTGGGAATAAACCACATGGCTCCTACACCAGGCTACCGATTCAACCACTGGTGCGTTTGTGTCCGGCCAAGTTGAAGAATGCTTAGCTCACTTGCCCAAGTCCCCAAAAGACCTTTTAGTCTCCCCTTGGGGGGATTCCATGTTTAGTCATGGCCCCAATTGCGGTGATCACCTTTGTTTGGGTAGCTGAGTGAAAAGAGGGCGATGGCATTCCCAAGAGGTTCTCGCTCAGAACTACGGAGAGCCCGCAGATGTTTGGAGCTGCGGGGTGATGATGTACATCCTCTGTTGCGGCCGTCCGCCCTTCAACGCCGACAAAGACGCGACGAAGAAATGAGTATGTTTTTTTTATATGTGTTTCCCTATTAACTTTAAAGGGAATCAATTTCACTAGATATTTTTCATTTTTTCCCCACGGGACAACAAATCAAATGCCAGAGAATGGCAGCTTCAGTAAGTCATGGCCCTAAAAGGTGATCACCTTTGATGAATTACTGGGTCCTTAGCTGAGAAAGGGAATCAAAAGAGGAGCTGATTGAACTGGTCCCAAAGCAAATAGATTATGAGGGGTTCTCATTTGCACTGGGGAGGGGAGCCCCCTTTGAACCCACCCAGAGAGAGAGGCCAATTCGGAGGATGTCACTTTGGACCCAGTTGAACAGTTCAACAGCAGTGGTTTGAGCCATAGTTTAAACACGTTGTGTTTTTGTTGGGGGTCCAAAGCGAATCGACCGGACCTCGCCACTTGGTTGTTCTGTGTGAGCCTGTGTTGAGTCAGGTCCCACTGGTTGGGTGGCACCCTTTTGTTTCTTTTTGTTGGGTGACTTCGCTACAAATCATTAGCCCAACTTGCTGGCGCGATAGGTAGGGAATGAGGGAATGAATCTGGGGATTCCCTGAAAGGAAGCCATGAGGGATGGTTTGCATCGGGGTAATTCCCTTGTTTGACCAGAAACCGGGATTGAATTCCTCAGCCTTTTGGTTTTCCATGTTTGGTTCCCATGTTCAGTAGGGGTCCCAGAAGGTCGAGCGTTTATTTCCAGCTCCTTTGGGCAAGTGAGATTCCTGGGTGCAAGATGCGAGGACAGCGACATCCTGAAATTGATCAAGATCGGGAAGTACAGCATGAGTGATGCATGCTGGAGCTCTGTGAGTGACAATGCAAAGCATCTCATCAAGTCTTGCTTAGAGATGGTTCCGCGCAAGCGCATTACGGCACAGGATGCCTTGCATCATGCGTCTTGGCTTGAAACCTTAGGACTAGGCAAAATGGACAGCTCTTTAACTGATCCATGGCTGCTATTGAACTTGGGAATGGTGGACTTTGAAGACAAATGAGCTCTTTTAGCCGTTTAGCCTTTTAACACCTTTAGCTTTTTGGGCAAGACACGCGTTCTTTTTTTTAGTGCACTACCGCTCGCTACCGCTCGCTACCGCCAGGAGTGGTTTCATGCAGAGGCGGTCGCCTCAGGTGCTTTGGACGCGGATGTCATGCGGAACTTCCGGTCCTTCAGCATGGCCAACCGCTTCAGGAAGGCTGCGCTGACGGCAGTGGCGTATCAGTTAACTGAGGAGGAGCAGAAAGATTTAAGAGAAGCTTGGGCTCAAAAGCATGATGCTTTTCCTTGGAGCCGGAAAAACCACGCTGTTTTTTTTTTGAGGAATCCCCTTTTGGGAAATGTTCGACCCCTTTTTGGGTTCCTAGAGTCTCCATGACCCTTGAAAAATAGGTCCATGACCCCTGAATTTTGGGTAATGACCAACCATTTTTTAAGGGTCCTTAGGGAGACTCCAGGTTCCTGTTTCCAGCAAAGGGCAAAAAGGTCGAATGTGTTTTATTTTCCGGTCCTTTGAGCAGCTGAGGAAGTCTTCATGAGGCGAGTTTACCACATCTTATCACATTTTGTTTGCATCGTTCTTGCTCTCAGTTGTTCAGTGGCGCCAATTCGTTTTCCCTTTTTTTGGTGGCTGCCCCACTAAAAATGGTCTTCCCAAAAAAAGGGTTCCCTTCTTTTTCCAGGGTCACTGAACAACTGAGTGCTTACTCAGTTTCGTTTCGGGTGTTGCTTTGTTTTCCTCAACCCGAAGTGGCCAGGTTTTTTTTGGTTGGTCGATTCACTTCGGTTGGATGCGCATCGCTCGAGGCTGGATACGAACGGGGACGGGCATTTGAGCCTCGAAGAGATCAAGGAAGGGTTGAAGCAGCACATGGAATTGACCCAGAAGGATTTGGAGCGAATCCTTCACGATGTGGATTCCAACGGCGACGGCTGCTCGGAGACTTCGGTTAGTTGCTTGTTTTTGTTTTTTTTGCTGGGTGAGCAAAACCAGCACCTTCCCACAAGAAAACAAGGTAGCTCGTCAGGTGAATGGGGTTTCCCCCTTAGCCACGAAACTGCCAGGCTCCAAACCGCAAGAACATAGGGAACAAAGAGTGCCCGACGTGCTCAAGGCAGGTAAAGGTGAAAAAGGGAACAACGGCCATCTCTTTTCATCTCATGCCTGCCGCTCTCTTCCTATGTCAGCTCTTGCCCAGCAAAGATTCCAGAGAAGAGAGATTGAGTGACGAAGGCTTAGGAATCAGCATGATGTAACGACTTTTGGATCCCAATGCAATCGCTTTTCTTTATTACAAATTTTTGATTTCTGTTCGTTTAATATGCCTTCCATCTCTTTCTTGGGTTAATAGTTTTTTTTTTAAAAAAAAAAAAAAAAAAAAAAAAAAAAAAAAAAAAAAAAAAAAAAAAAAAAAAAAATCTTCATTATTTGTTTACCTTTTCATCTTGATTGTTTTTATTTATTTACAATTATGTGTTTATTCCTTATCAGTCTGATTCAGTCTGTATTATTGCCGTAGCGGCGATTCCAAGAGTTTGTCAAGAGCCTGGATGAGAGGGATAACGCTAAAGGAAGGACGGTAATTCCTTTGGTCATTGCCACCATTCTCTCCCTTTGGTCAAAAGCGAGGAAGAAACCAAACGGAACTCGTCTCTTGACTCGTCTCTCAAGCCTTGACCGGCGAGACTAGAGAAGGTTCTAACGGTTGATTCCCCATTCTTTTCAACCATCGTTCTTTTCAAAAACCAGCCATTTCCCTGGGTTTCCGGAGGTTTTCTAGAAAGAAGGATCCCTGGAAAGAATGGGGAAGGTAGCACTAGAAATGTGAGAAGAAATGTAAAGATTTGTAAGGAATTGAAGATAGATATATACATGAGACACCAAGGAGGCGGAAGAGTTGGGACACAATGTCATTCACCTTTTTACATCTTCCCTGTCCATCTTGGAAGGATAAAACGTGAATGAGTGAGATAAGTGAATGGCATCTCTCACTCCAACATAAAGATCTGGAACTTGGGGATAAAGAGATTTCTTCCTGACTCCTCCAGAGCCTTTCCTTTCTGCCGCCTTTGGAACCCTTGGCTTCGTGTCCCAAGCTTTACTCATTCGCTTCGAACCCTCGGCTGCGAGCGGAGGCAATCCGGACGAAAAGAAATGAGAGATGAGTCCTTCCGGCTTCTCCGGCCTCTTTCTATCTGGAAATGTGTTTGGCTAAAGCTTGGACTTCCCCAGAATTCGCTCCCCTTTTCGATTGTTTTTTTGCTTTTTTGGGGTCCCTTTTGTTTTTTTTCCACTAATTCCAGGCAAAAAATCCAGTTTTTTTGCTGGGGTCCTAGTTCCAGCCCAGTGGAGAGGAAAGGAAAGATAAAATACAGAAAGGAAAGGCACCGCGAGGAAGTGATGATATGATGGATCTCTTATTATATTAGTTTGTTTCCTTTTACACATGCTGACCGTTACATTCATCATCCCAGCGTTTCGGAATTCCTTGAATGAAGGGTTGGGTCCGGTGGCGGCCAATGGATACAGAACAGCAGACATTAGGCAGCGGCCGGAGGTATTCAGGGAGGGGTGCACCAAAACAAGACACCCAAATAAGATCAATGATGCTGCACTTTGGTTTGCTTTTCCGGTCTTGGTTTGGACTTGCTTTGCGGCTGGCTTCAGCGGGGCCAATATGACTGTGGTTGGACCTGGCGGAACATTCCGATAGTTAGAAGAATCATTTTAGTTCACTGTAGCATTAATGGCATTGGTGGAATTTGACTTTTAGGGGCAAGTGATTCTACGTTTTTAAGTATAAGTAGGGCTTTGTAAAACATTCTGTATGTTCTTGTGCTCAATATGGCCTTTTTGTTTGAGGGTGCCCTGTTTGGGGTGGTTTTCTTGGAATGCCCAACAGGAAACCGAAGGGGTTTCCAAGTTTGGAGTCGCGCCTATGGGTCAAAGTCTTTCAGACCGGGTTTTGTCCTTGGTTCCATTAGGGCAACCCATTCTGGGTATATTCCATTACCAATTGTTGACACACACACACACCCATGGTGTAATAGCGGATCCCCCCAAAACAGGGTGATGTTCCTTTTGCTTTCGTTTGAAACATATTTTTGGTGTTAAAGGGAATCCACGAGTGGACATATTCTATCATTTTGTCCAGGGGGCGAAAAAGCGCATGGAGGTAAAGTCGATGTTTCTGTGGGCGTTATGTCAGCCAGGGGAGGTCGATACATAGTTTTGAAGAACAGCTGGAAAGCGATCATGCTTTGTTGAGGTACCTTTTTTGGTGTATTTTTGGTGTAAGTTGGAAACCAAAAGGACACCGCTGGAATTCTTTCGGGGAGGACAACTTGCTGGTGCTTTGAACCATCCAACTGGTGGTTTCCTTTAAGGGGCCAACGCCTGGGTTCATTCCATGTCTCATTCCCATTCCGTATCTCACCAGCAAATAAAACAAATAAGCAAATAGATCAATAGAGGTACCAACCATCCAACTGGTGGTTTCCTTTAAGCGACCCCCAGGTTCATCCATGTCTCATTCCCTACCTATCCTATCCTGCACCACCTGGGAAACCCCGGAATGACGAATTCCCCTGTAAATACCAACAAACAATGATTTTTTCATGGCTTCTTGGGTGGTGCAGGATTTCGTCCATCAACAGCAAGACAATCCGTGGTGTTTCCGTCGGTTCGGTGAGGTTGGATCGAGTACACGGAGTTCTTGGCGGCCGCCATGGACCAGCGCCTGCAGAAGAACGAGTCCGCCTGCTGGCGCGCCTTCAAAACCTTCGACCGGAATGGAAATGGGAAGATCCCCCGCGCTATTGGCATATTTCCCCCAGTAGTGCCCTTTTGCCGGTTTTGTTTTGGGGAGGGTTCCCCTGCCAAAATAGACTACCGAAAAAAAGGGTACCCTTCTTCTAACCTCTCTACTTGAGGACCTAGTTGGCATGTGTGTGTGTGTGTTGTTTGTTTTGTTTGTGTTTTTCCGGTCTGTATGTTCAAAGTAATCAGTGTTGGGTCAAGCGTTGAGGCGTCTTTTTGTTGTTGGTTGGTTCTGATTCTTCATAGGGGCTTTTGGCATATTTCTGTTTTGCAGAAAACAACAACCTCCTGCAAATGAACCTGGAATCTGAAAAACCATATGTTTGTCTAGGAGGAATCTCCTTTTAAAAAATGGACACTCTTTTTGGGTTCCAGGTTAATTTGCAGGGAGTATGTCCTTCTTTGATCGTACATCCAAAAAGCGCAAAAAGGGGGATTCCACTGCTCTTGGCATCATGTTGTCTCTAAGCGAATCCGACCTTTTGGTTCTCCTTTTTGGGTTCCCATTTCTAGTAAACTAGGTCCCCCAGTAGTGCCCTTTTACCAACGTTTTTGGGGTAGGGTTACCCTACTAAAATAGACTTACCGAAAAAAGTGTGCACCCTTATTCTAAGCTCAAACTACTGGAACACCTGGTTCTCCTTTTTGGGTTCCCTTTTTTAGTAAAGGCTCCAAAACTTCCAAAAGGAGATCACCCGGGTGATGTACAGGTCCTGAAGCAGCGTCTTATGATCATGTGGCAGCCTGACCCCACTGAGGGATCCAGGATTGGTCACCTTTCTGAGTTGCCAATCTCAAGGATACATTCTGGGCCAAAGAGACGTCGGTGCCCGGTTCATCAAAGAGGATGCGTTCGGGGGGGGGGCTACTTTCTTGAGGCTTAAAGCTGATCTAGAGGATGCCCTTGCTTGTATCTATCGGAACTCTGTTGCCTTTTGGGCTGAGGATCACCTTTGCAGAGCTAGAGCAAGTCCTCGCAGACAATGACTTGCTCAAGGAAGTTCCTGATTGCGAGAGTGCCCGCTTCTACTTCGACCAGATGGATGCCAATGGCGATGGCGAGGTGACCTTTGATGAGTTCATGGCAATGTTGCATCCCAAAGGCGCTGACCGCGCCAGGATGCCCAAAACCATGAGCCTCAGCCAGATTGCGGACCGAGCAATGCTGTAGGGAACGCTAGTGTGTTTTAGACAGGGCAAATCCGCAACTCGATGATAGTCAATGTTGACCGCTTTCAACCCCATCAGCTTTGCCGGCAGTTAATAGAAAAAACAGACCGACACAACCATGTAATTGGCTTACGAGTGTAGCATAATTGTTTTACGCTGGAAAGGCGTCTGACAGAACCCTTCGCCAAGCGAGAAAATCGGCTGCGCTCCAACGTCGCAGGCAGATCGCGCAGTCATAGCCAGCCACTGTGTGTGCGTAGTGTGCATGTGAATTGCGTGTTCACGTTTTCATGAAACTTGACTGCTATTAGGTTGGATCTTTAGACTTTTGTTTGGGAAATAGATGTATTTTCCACTAAACCCCCAAAAGGTTAAACTTTTTGCAGGGGGGTCAACAGCAACCAAGGAAAGACATGTTCAACAGAATGATTTTTCTACAGCCCTGACCCGAGCCGCACAGTTAATTGCTTTCCTCAAGTTGTGCTTGAAGCGTTGAATTGTCAAGTCTGGCGCAAAGAGACCAGCAAAAGGTCACAGTTCAAGGCATCATGTGTTTGATGAATTCGGCTTTCACTCCGGCTTTGGTCACTCAGAAGGCTTGAGCCAACTCATTCAAAATCAAGAGAGCAGCGGAATCAGCAAAAGCTACTTTGGTCGACTCCCCATCATTCCTTTTTGAAGACACCCATCCCTTTGAGCAAAACATGGTGTTTGGGTCAGACCGGCCTCGGCCTTCGCAATAGGTCCCCGTGGCCATGGAGAGCAAGAGCGGCTTCTTAAACACGACTAGGGAAAAAATACATTTTAAACAACATATTATTAATTGAATGAGCTTAGTGACCCCAAAGGGGGTCCCTGCATACGAACGTTTCTAAAAGCTGGAGCCCAATGCGAGCTCTTCGCTCAAGATGGTTTACTGGAGAAAACGGCCTCGAGGAGCTGAAAGGGTGCGCCTTCGCACCCCAAAGCCTCCGCAAGGCGTGGACGGTGGATGAGGGCAACTACCAAGGGACATCATCATCTCGGTGCTGGAGGCAAACTTCGCGGAATAGCACGGCCAATGGTTCCGAGGAGACATCAGCGCCACCGACGAGTACCTTCGGTGGTGGCTCTCCTCCACGGGGAGGGCCGGCATTGCCGATTCGGTGGCGGTTCAGTCCGGAACTTTGAGGCGAGAGGCCGTGGTGGGAGCTCACCGCCTGAGTTGGTTACGGAGGGGGGGCTGGTGCAATGGTGAAGGATGTGGTGGAGATGAGTTCCCCTTAGCCCGAAGACAAACCAAGAGGCAAGAGGGAGATTGGGGCTCGGAAAACTACGAGCCCGAAGGGGCAGATGACTCGGGAGCTTTGCAACGAGCGTAAGGGAGATTCGACAGCATGCAGAAAGAAGAGTGGGCCAACCAGTGCCAAGAAGAAGCCGGCCAAAGGCTGGCCAAAGGCCGCAAAAAGGAGCTGGCCGGGAAAAGGCAGCCAAGCAAATTGCTGAAGTGCCCAAAACCTCAAGAGAAGATACGGACTAAGAACAAGAAGAAGGGCAGACGAGGTTTCGGAAAGTGAGGAGCCCCCCTTGAAGAGTGAATACCTGAAGATGGAAAGGTGCTTGGCGAAGAAGCCGGGCTCGCAGTGACGCTGCGTGCGGCGGCGCATGGCACGGGGCCGTGCGGTTCTCAGGTCCCGCGTGCTACCTGCAGCTCGTGACATGGGCGCATCGGAGCTCGAGGAGCTGAAGGCGCAAGGAGAGAGGAATGAAGCCAAAGCATCAGACCACCCTGCCATGCACTTTGCGCACATTGCGGGCGGTCCTTGAGGCCTGAGACCCCCAATCCAGTGTTGCCGTGTTGCCTCTGTGGAGGTATTGGGATGTTCGAAAGGAACAGGATCCACAGAAGTTTGGTTTTCTGTTGCCGGAGAACGAATATCACTGGTACTTTTTGGAGTGCTCGGTTGATGGAGGGTTTGCCGATGATGACGGGGACGAAAGTGTGCATGAATCTAGTTCCGGACCCGAATCCAGCTCAAGTAGTGACAGTGATGTGCGAGGGAGCAAGAGTAGGAAGCCACCCAGTAGTTCCGCTTCTGTATCCATTCAGGGAACAGTGCATGGGGCCTGGGACGTATATTCCGGTAATGAAGATGGGGTTTACAAGGAAAAGAACTTGAAGCTTGTTAAAGTTACAAAGTTGCCTGTTGACTCCACCACATGCCGGGAATGGCGTAGTGCTTTTATTGCCTCCGTGTCTCGCATCGACACTACCGATGGTGATGTGCTCGCCAAGTATGTGTCGCACTGTTTTGAAGGGGGTCGGGGGAAAAGGTTCCGTGAAGCATTGCATAATTCGGTTGTGTTCACTCGGTTCAATAAGCATGTTGGAGCAGAGCTCATCCAAACTGATGTTCTGGCAACAAACACCGAGTTGGCTGCTGAGTTCAGTTCCTATGTCGAATCATGTGCACTTCGTGGGCAAGGGTCGAAAGGCGCACCTCTGTTGAATTTGTTGTATCAGCATTTCTCGGTAGGCGCCAGCGGAGTTGCACTTGGCCAGATGCATTTGCTGGAATTGAAGCTTGAAGGAAACTCTTGGAGTAATGTTCAGGCGTTCATCAGCAAGGCACGGTATATTAGGAATGGACTAAAGGTAGACGATCGTCCGAGCGATGCTACAATGTTCCATTGGTTATGGCATGAAGTCAAAAGAGTTCCATGTTTGTCAAGGATCACAAACAAAGTTCGGGATTCCTCGAGTAGCTCGCATAGACGCTCATTTCAATGGCTCTGGGATGCCATCCATGATGAGCTGAAGGAGCGTCGTGAGGACTCGAACTACGAGAACTTGACGAAAGGGTTGAAGACGGGCCCACAGGCTCCGCCTTATGGTTTAGCTGCTGGCCAAGCCGATAACCCTCGTGCTAGTTCCGCCCAGACAAACAAGGGCAACTCTGAGAGCAAGCCAAGCAGTGAGCATCCCACGGACAAAGCAGATCGGAACAAGAAAGCAAAGAAAAACAAGAAACAAAGAGAAAGAGAGTCAGGGGAAACAGGCCGGACCATCAGCACTTCCAGCACAGAGCAGTGAGGGCAGCAAGGGAGAAAAATGGGTCTGCTCTTATCATGCTGCTGGTTTTTGCAGATTTGGTGAAGCTTGTAAACTCTTGCATGTTGGAGAGCCTGGTTCTCAGAAGGCAAGACAAGCATTTAGTGAATCTCAGAAGGCAAAGGGAATAAGGGAGACGGCAAGGGGAAGGAAAAAGGAAAGAAGGGTGGCCAGAAGGGCGGGGCAACCGCCACAGCCCAAGCTACAGCAACAGCAGCCGCCAGTAGGGGCAGCCGCTCAAGAACCAACGCCGGGGTTCTCTCGATGGTTCCGCATGTGGGAGGCCTTTTGTGAACAGGTCAGTTGCGTGCGTTTGCCAATCCCTGCATTTCTCAGAATCACCATCCCCCTCATGATGGCGTGTGTGGATGGATTGCTAGGTGTTGATCTGCCAAATGCAAATGTTGGGTGCTTCCAGAACTTGTTGCAGAACGGCATCGAGATGTCTCAGCCTACGGCTCTTCCGGTTGGTTTGATATCCTCATCCAATAACTTGGAGGCCATCCAGGGCATCGCTGACAAGTACCAGCGACTCTCGTTTGAGCTCATTGGTGACACTGGGGCGGCACACGACATTGGTGGGGTGCAAGAGGCTCGTGAAGTCTTGTCGGGTTGGGCTGGGAACATAGGAGAGCTACAAGTTCACTTGTTAAAATCCTGTCCTCTCGCAATGTCTATCGGCAAGCAAATCAAAAAGGGAAGGACATTCATATGGGAATTTGGGAAGACTCCATACATAGCCTTGAATCACAAAAAGTGTGGGTTTGGTGTCCTCTTGAAAACCGTTGGTTCGCATCACGGGTCAAGTATGATGTTCCAGTGTTCAACGTGGACTTGCCTGGTTCCGGGACGGAACCGGCAATGCCCATTGTTGATTCGCAAGACGACGTTGCCGATGCAGCGGAGCCGGACGGCACCCTGCTAGGCGCGTTTGCGGGGTCACAGGAAAGTGCACCTACAAGCAATGACAACTTGTCTCAGAACGCCACGGCAGGCGTGTCAAAAGGGGACTCGTTTACATTGCAGCCGGACAAAAGGGCTGACATGCAGCATCTGCCTTGCAATGACCATTTTGGTCACACTCATGAACCGGACGGTTCTGCAGAGCAAGACGAGAGCAAGCACGAGCGGCCAAAGCAACAAAATTTGCCAGATGCGTGGTTGTTCGATGAGGGTCAGATGACATTGATCCGGATTCACAACAAGGCGAGGCGGGGCTTGTTTACTCCGAACGGGGTGAAAGGGTGTCCTGTTGACCCGTCATGCATCTCGCACAAGAGGATCACCATTGCGAATTTCTCGAACGGGGAGACGCAAACGATCACTCACCAGGACTATAAGAGTCCCAAGCTCAATAGTGTGCCACTCCATTCTAAGTGGACCGGACAGACACTCTTCAAGGTATTGCACACCTCGTTCGTCCTTGTGGGGAGTCGCATGAAGACAAACCTATTCCAAGGGGGGCCGACGCAGTGTCCGAACATGCGAAAGCCGCCATCATGGAGTGCCGGTCTGTTGCCGGGACGGCGACAGAAGAACAGGTGAAGAGAATTGACAAAGTCGTGGCACAGATTTTTGGGGAACTCCAGGAATTCCTTCAGCAGGAAAAGAACCCTGAATCTGTTGCCGCGGTTCCCATGAAGGAAGGAAAACTTGTCGAGTTCTGCACTTTTGAGGATTCATCCTTGGGTAACACGGCTATGTCATACAACATTCCGGTGATCCGTTGCACGGAATAGCACTTGAATGGCCTTGATGTATCAAGCTTGGAAACCTTTGAGGGAATGCTATCTTCAGGGGAAAGTCTTGACTTGTGGGGAAGCCTGCCATGCAGTCCATGGTCTCAACACCAACATCTATGTGCCCATAGGTACGGTAAGGCATACATCAGATGCCTCAAGAATGCACGTAGTATCTCCAAGAAGCTGGTAGGGAAC